CCTCAGCGCTGGGTCAGGCTCCGCCTAGTCTCCTCTCCCGCCAACGTCAGCTGGCGGGGAGACCTAATGTGCATGCGCAATGGCTGCACACGCGCATTAGACCTCCCCATAGGAAAGCATTATTCAATGCTTTCCTGTAGGGATTTCGGCGACGCTGGAGGTTCTCACATATCTAAGAACACGGAAGTCCCTCTGATAGACAGCCACTAGAGGAGGACTTAACCCTGCCAGGTAATTATTGCAGTTCATAAAAACTGCAATAATTACACTTGCAAGGTTAAGGGTGGTGGGAGTTGGCACCCAGACCACTTCATTGGGCAAAAGTGGTCTGGGTGCCTGGAGTGTCCCTTTAAGAAGTCTACGTCTATGCAAACCTTTCAGAAATGACCTATATTTGTTTTTTGTTTCAATAGTTTCCTATCGTTAAACTTTTATGTGTTTATTTACAATATACATTTTAAATTGCTTAGGGTACAAAATATATTAACCGAACTACGAGGACATCGAAGAACCCTATTTCAAACATGACATGAACTGTTCTTGTTTCTTAAAACATATACTTTTATTTTGATTAATAATATAAGGTATCTTTGGGTTGGTTCCGGCAAGAATTTTACTAGTCACTCTTAAAGGTTGATGTCTGTAAATATTTAGGTGTTTTATTTGTCATGTCGTTTGTGGCATTCATATTACCTTAAAGAGACACTCTAGGCACCATAACAACTTCATCCAAATAAACATTTTCTGTAAAAAAGTCATCTAATGTTTATCCTTTAAAAAATTTGGATTTTCTTATCTCGTGCTCTGTTAATAGATTTCTAGACCCTGCAGGAGCCCCCTGTACATAATTAAAGTTCAATTCACAGGGCAGGAGATACACATTTTTAAGGTAAGTTACATCTGATTGAAAAGTGAAACCAGATTTATTTTCATGCAGGCTGTGTCAGTCACAGCTAGGAGAGCTGTGGCTAGGGCTGCATAAAGAGAAACAAAGTGATTTAACTCCTAAATGGCAGTGAACCTTCATTAGGCTAAAGTTGCTTTTATGACTATAGTGTTCCTTTAACATAGCTTGCAAAAATGGCAGCCTTTTCAAGTCCACCCTTTCTTGGAGGAAAAGTCTTCCCCACTGGGAAATAGCCTGCTCTGAAGCTCTCCCTCTAATACGCGCCCTCACATCATTCTGATTGGAGGCCTGAGAATAAGGTATGCAGTGGAGGGCAGTAGGTGCATTCAAGTAGGGCATGCCTGTCACTTCCGTTAGCTCAGGGGAGCTAACGGAAGCAGGAAGAAACCTCCCTGGCTGTTTAATTAACAGCCTTGAGGTGTTTCAATAATTATTTATTAAAGTGCTTATTTCTCATAGAAATCAGCACTTTTATAAACTGTCATTATAAACTTCTCACTTGTGGAGTGGTCCTTTAATTGATTTCCCTTGCATTTACCTTTCGGTTGTAGTTGCCACCTCTCAAATAGTTTTAGGAACCTTTTTTTCTCAATCATTGTTTTCCGCTAGTTTTGGTTAGAGTAACATGAGGTCGTCCGGCCTCTCCCTAATCTTAAAAAATAAGAAGAAAATAAGAAAAGAACCACTGAAAAGAACCAGAGGGGGAGGAAGGTCAAGGAGGACAGACCGAGGGGAGGACAGATATTTTTGGTAGTCTGGCATCAGATGTCAAGTTTGCACAAAACTGACATTAGCTATCTTGTAACTTTGTTAATGTCTGGCCAATGATGCTGCTGTAGGTGGACTTACATCTCAGGTCACCTAAGGGATCAATCTCTGTATGTGCAGTGTGTTATAGCAGACACAATTAAAGGACCACTATAGTGCCAGGAAAACATACTAGTTTTCCTGGCACTATAGTGCCCTGAGGGTGCCCCTCCCGCCGGGCTCTGGGGAGAGGAAGGGGTTAAACTTACCTATTTCTCCAGCACCGGGCGGGGAGCTCTCCTCCTCCTCTCCTCCTCTTCGGCTGAATGCGCATGCGCGGCAGGAGCTGCGCGCGCATTCAGCCAGTCTCATAGGAAAGCATTCATAATGCTTTCCTATGGACGCTTGCGTCTTCTCACTGTGATTTTCAATGAGACAGCCACTAGAGGCTTTAGAGGCTGGATTAACCCATTTATAAACATAGCAGTTTCTCTGAAACTGCTATCTTTATAAAAAAAAGGGTTAACCCTAGCTGGACCAGGCACCCAGACCACTTAATTAAGCTGAAGTGGTCTGGGTGCCTATAATGGTCCTTTAACATTTCAAATACCTTGAGTGGTCATGATGCTAGCCTTTTATTAATTTTTGTCATACACACCATGACTTAACTGATAAATCTGACATCCATCCAGAGAGGGAGGGGTGGAGTATTATTGTCCATGCTGTAATTAGTATCACAGGCAATATGTCTGCCCATAAAAAAGCGTGCCATCTTGGCATGCATGCAAGATGGCAGACAGCTTGGAAAAGTTATCAAGAGAGCGCATAAAGGGTGCTGAAATTTTTGCATACTCTACAGCAGTGATGGCGAACCTATGGCACGCGTGCCACAGGTGGCACGCCAAGCCCCCTCTGTGGGCACGCGGCCATAAGTCACCGGAGGGAGGGAGGGTGCGCTCCGCCGGCGCATCCATAAGGCGGCACAAGTAGCCGCCTTAGGGCTCACCGGCCCGGCGGGCGCAAAGCCGGAGTGACCGGCAGGAGGTGAACGCATAGAGCACAGCGCTCCCTCCTTCCAGGCACTCTGTGTAGCGTGGCCGAGCGCACCGCGGTCACAGAGAGAGCACTTCCTGTCAGCCGGGTACAGGAAACTGAGCTCCGCGGTGCGCTCGGCCACGCTACAAGGTAGGAGCTCAAGGGGGGGGGGGAAACTGAGTGGGAGAGAGGGAGGGAGAGATGGGGAGGGCTAAACTGAGTGGGAGAGATGGGGGAACTGGAGTGGGAGAGAGATGGGAAGCTGAGTGGGAGAGAGATGGGGGGAAACTGAGGGGAGAGAAACTAGTGGGAGAGATGGGAAACTGAGTGAGGGAGAGATGGGGGGAAACTGAGGGAGATGGGGAAACTGAGGGGGGGAGTTATGGGGGGGAACTGGGGGAGAGATATTGGGGGGGGGAAACTGAGGGAGGTATGGGGGGAGAAAACTGAGTGTGGGACGGGGGGAAAGGGGGGACGACATACACACAGCACCCCTGCCCTACACATATCACCCCACACAAAGACACCCACACATCACCCTACCCACACATCACATCACCCCACCCACACACACACACAAACACATCACCCCACACACACAAACACATACAATGTACCCCTCAATGCAGTGTGTGTATACTCAGCAGTATGTGTGTGTGTGTACTCAGCAGTCTGTGTGTGTGTGTGTACTCGGCAGTCTGTGTGTGTGTGTGTGTGTGTGTGTGTGTATTTAGCAGTCTGTGTGTGTGTGTATTTAGCAGTCTGTGTGTGTATTCAGCAGACTGTGTACTCAGCAGTCTGTGTGTGTATTCAGCAGTCTGCTAAATACAGACAGACTGCTAAGTACACAGACAGACTGCTAAGTACACACAGACAGACTGCTAAATACACACACAGAGATGTTAATTAGTTGGGACAACTGTATGAGTTGTTTTTTATAAACTTAAACCTCAGTATTCAGGTTTAATTGCAGTTTTGGCACTTTGAGTGGAAAAAAATTGGCATGTATTACGGTTTTGGCACTCGGGCTCAAAAAGGTTCGCCATCACTGCTCTACAGGGAAGGCAAACTCTAATAGCACATTGGGAACGTAGCTATTAGTTGTTAAAATATAGCAACATTTAGTTTTTAGTAAGTCTATACTGACACATTCATACATACTTCATGATTAATGTATGTATCACTGGAATCTAATAAAGACTCTCAGACTCATTGTGACAACATGGTGGGTTATTCACCAAACAACACATTTTAACAAATTAAATCCGAATTGTCAAAATGTCTAACTTGGCTTTAGTCACTGCTGAACTATTTTAAACTCGATTTTGTAAAGTTTTGTGTTTAGGGAATACACCTCTACAGGAGGAATTGAAGAGATCCGATCAGGAATTGCAATTTGTTTGGACAATGTAGAAAAATAGAACATTAGCTTTGGTACTGATCCTTAGCATGGATAGATGCCAAGGAAAATATAGATGATCTGGCAAAGCCTGTTTGGGCGGCTTAGATACAAACAAATAACAAAATGAATATGTTCAGGAGGAGACGTGAATGCAGCCCTTTCTTCTATAATTAAACCTAAAAAATTAAGAATTAAAGGACAAGTGTCACCTCAAGACTAGCTTTTAATATAATAATACTGTCATCACATTTTGAAAGGATATAGATATTTTTAATTAAAGTATATTTAGAAAAATGACAAAAACCCATCTCTACCTTTAGTATTTTACAGGTCCCCCCAGCCATATACATGCACCCTCAGTTGGACAGTGTCTATAAAATCGAGTTAGTCTCTATGGTTTTTCCCTGTTTCTGTGCGGGGAGTGAAGCAGGAAAGACCATAGAGTTTTAAATACTGTCTGACTAAATGCGCATGTATATGGCTGAAGGATGCCGTCATGTACTAAAGGTCGCCATGAGTTTTTCTTCATTAATTTTTTTACATATACGTTTAAAAAAAAAAATTATGTAAAAAATGGTTTAACCCCTTAAGGACACATGACGTGTGACATGTCATGATTCCCTTTTATTCCAGAAGTTTGGTCCTTAAGGGGTTAAATGACCATTATATTAAAAATAATTCTGAGATGACAGTTGTCCTTTAACTGTACACAGGACACCCAGGCAGAGCCATGCAGAGTAAATCCCCTAAATAATGTAGAACTACAACTTCCATGATGCTTTGCCAGCTTCTATGGAGTTGGAGTTGTACAGTAGCTGTGGGACTGCCTCCAGCAGGTGTCACGTGACACGTGACGCGCCACGCAGACCTTTCCCCAGCGCGCTTTCGGTTGCCAGGTAACCGGTGCACCCTGTGATGACGTGTATCCCGCTGGAGCCGGCTGCTCGCTGTCACTTCCTGGTTGTGTGAGCTTTGATCCCGGAGTTCGTTGCCAGCGCTGAGCGACATGTCTCACCAGACCGGCATCGAGGGTGAGTCCCGGCCGGCGGCCATCTTATACCCCATACACAGAGCGGCCAAGGAGAACGGCCAGCCCTGCCTGGGAGCATGGAGGGACTGGAAGACCTCTCTGGAGACTCCCTCCTCCCCCCAGCCACCAGTCATTGTATCCAGGGTACACCTACATAGTGTCTGCAGCAGCTAACTAACTAACTAACTACATAGGGAAACAGAGAAAGTACCCTGCAGAAACATCATCATCATAATGGGGGGAAAAAATTAATAATAATAATAATAGAAAATAATGGAAGAAAATAATAATGGAAAATAATGGGAAAAAATGAATAATTATAGAAAATAATAATAGAAAAATTTAATAGAAAATGGAAAAAATGAATAATAGAAAATAATAATAATAATAGAAAAATGTAATAATAGAAAATAATAATGGAAAAAAAATAGAAAATAATAATAATGGAAAGTAATGGGAAAAATTAATAATGATAGAAAATAATAGAAAAATGTAATAGAAATATGTAATAATAATAGAAAATGGAAAAAATGAATAGATAATAATAATAATAATAATAGAAAAATGTAATAGAAAATAATAATAATAATAGAAAAAAACAGAAAATAATAATAATGAAAAAATGTAATAAGAATAATGGAAAAAAATTAATAATAGATAATAATAGAAAATAATAATAATAGAAAAGTGTAATAATAGAAAATAATAATTTAGGAAATAATGATAATAGCAAAAATTACATTTTAAAATAACTTATAAAATATAAATCTAATAATATTATTAGGAAAAAGTTACATTTAAAAATAATAGAAAACCAATAGCTAAAAAAAATGAAAAATAGTAATCATGGAAAAATAATAATATAAAAAAATTATATTGTGGAAAAAATAAATGAAAAATAATTTTAACATTAAGCTTTACCTTAATAAAATATTTAGTTTGATATGAAATATGTGTTTACTAATTAACCTATTGGTGGTGTGGGTTCTCTGCATTGCATGAATAGATTCCATAGTTTGTGCGTTGCTTCTTTGTAAACTTTACCTTTCATGGTGCATATGCTCCAATTTCTGACAATTCATCAATTTAGAGAATTAAAAAAAAAAAAATTGCTACAGTTCTACAGTTGCAGTATTGTCAAAGTGCTGTTCGGCATGGGCTGTACTTCAAGCCAAACATTTGTTCTTTGCACAATGCAATAAACATCACTTATTTGTTGTAGACGCTTTTGTTATGAAATTTCACAAGACTTAATTTGTGTGAGAACTAGCAAAAATTATAAGTAGTTACTACATGCTACTAAATGTATTATTTAGAAATAAATTTTTACTGGAAATTATTATAGAGTTAATTTGTCTTATAATGTTTGCTGGCCATAACCGGGTTCTTCTGTTGCTTTGTGTCTTCCTGTGTTGCTTCACATGGTTATTTTGCTACACACTCATTGATTACCATGCGAGTGCTTATTACAGAGTAATTTGCCAGCAGTAGTAAAAAGCCCTTTCAAACATTTGTAATTTTATCAACATGACAAAAGTACACACTGCACCTTTGATTCTCTGATAGCTAGGTCACAGCAGGTTACTAGGTTTGCCTTACTGCAACTTGTATGTGCAGAATATATATACATAGAGTTTAGTTATTCTCAAATATCTGTAACCCCAGTTTCAATGCATGGGTTTGTTATTGGAGACAGGAAGCATATACAATTTAAAAAAAAAAAAAAAAAAGTTTGTGGACACATCAGTTATGAGCCGTATCCCCTGCCCCTCCATGACATCTTTCATTTGTTTCTACCCGGTTTTCTGAATTGTTGCGTTTCAAGTTAGACTATACGTACCTATTGCTTTTCAGTGTAAATGAAAATATCACCCCTTGGATCTGGAGTTATGCATTGAACAGTTTTCACATTTACCCCTAAATGTCACTCCTTGCAATCTGAAAAAGTTCAGTGATTACTTGCTCATTTACTGTTGAGAGAGCTTTTTTTAAAATGAGGAAACTCAACTCTGCAGCATAACCTGTGATTATATTAATAACACACACATTCTGATTTAGCATTAACATTCTGATTTCAGAATATACTTTTAAGAGCCATGTGCTGTTGGTGACACACTTCAGGTTATTCATTAAACTCTGAATTGTAGTGAATTAAACCCTAATGTCAACATTGAGGCTGAAAGATGATTGGGGAAAAAAATCTCCAGTTTACCTACAGGCACAACGTGGCTATTTTAGCATAAATACAATTTAGATTTTAATTCATTAAAGTTCTTAGTTTAGCGAATAACCCTGTTAGCAATTGGTGTCTAACTGATATGGTTATTTATTTACTAAAGTAAGAATTAAAGGGAACTTCAAATCTAAAGATAAAGTAACTAAACTGAAAGCATGGTTGATTTAGACAATGTTTCCGGTTTGGCTCCTTTGACTTTAAATGTGAAATTCACCCTAAATTCTCACTTTAGCAAATCACTTGTCCGTTGTTTTTCCTGTTCCCCTATTTTAGCTTAAAATGTAATTCCTTTGTTAATTTGCTACAAAGTCAGGTTTAGTTACACATTATATTATTCATCTTTAAATGGAAAACCTTTTTTTTTTTTTTTTTTGTGAGAATTTCTTTTTTCATGATCAGCATGACGTGGAGGAGGAGGATACATATATACACACAGACCAATTTTTATAATATATGGCACAAAACACATTTTTATTCATGTTTCACTATTTCTATATTTAGATTTTAAATATATTTTAAAATATATAGGATTTCTTGTTTTTTGCGTTGTTTAGTGTGTTTCTTCCATACATTTTTATAAAGTGGGAAGATTTGTTAAAACAGGTGGATTGAGGTTTTCCACGATTCACAGCTGAAGCAGCATGCATTTTATTTATTTCGTTATTACTGTTGTATAAACAGTGGTCTAGGAGATTTGAATATTGCCAGAGGTACATTGCCACCATCATTGGAAATATTTTGGAAGATCAAGATTGCTCATCCATGCATTCTTTATAATATATTAATGATTACATCAAATACATTGATGGTCAGGAAATCTACACAGTTTATAGAGTAACTGAGCTCTTCAGGACAAGAGTTAAGCCATTTATTTGAGAAGTCATGTTGATTTGTTGAGTGTTGTTATTCCCATTTTTTAAATGTTTTAGTACATACAACATTTCTGTCAGTCACTGATTCTATATGTTTGCTTCTGATCTTATACCTGTGTTTCTTCCTCAGACAAAGGTAGCATGTTTTTTTCTGAATTTAATCAGATATGGTATTAGGGTGTTTGTTTATCTTTCACTGTGAAGTCTGTGATTTTGTTTACCAATTATATTTGTTTATGACTCGTTAGCTGCTTTATTTATTTACTGATTTGTCCTTGCACCTTGCTATTAATGTTGGTTTGTTTGTTTCGTATGCAAATCCTATGTATATAGGAGATTCAACAAGTGAAGTAGATTAAAATTTACATTAATAGAATAATCAGCCCTAACTTGAACATGCATATGGAGATATTCCCTGTTTTAAAGACATTCTATAGACAGGATTGAAAGGGATTGGAGTTTGTCTTTAATCAAACAAGGTTATATATGAGACTACTTGGTTGCCTGGCAGTTGAGTGTTTCTGACAATTGAAATTTTTACAGCTTTGGCCTAAATGTTGATTATATTGCTGGGGAACAGGTGTATTTGTATTGTGATGACTTTTATTGCCTGTACGGTTTTATTATTTGGGCTTTCCACTGTGAAACGGCCTTTCAATCGAGAAGATAAGGGAATTGTACCAACGTCTGGTCTTGCGTAGTAGTATGTGGGATTATGTTTATTAGGATCATAAGATGGGGGATGGCAATGCTAACCAGGATGATATGGGATTGAACACAAGGCCTATCTGCAGAAACATATGGTGCCAGCATCTGTAAGTGATTTCAGACTGGAACACCAGAGTGCCATACAGAGAGATAAATGAAGATTGACTTCTTAAGACCAAGTGTTATACATTTTTAGACACTGCAGTCTGGTTCCTACTGGCAACATAAAATGCCTCGTGCATGTAGCTACAACAGCTCAATATATAGTTAAGTCAATAATTGAGTGGGTTATTTCCCATAAGATAATTTGATCCTTAAAGGGACATTATAGTCACCAGAACAATTACAGATTATTGTATTTATGCTGGTGAGTGTAATCTTTCCCTTCAGACTTTTTGCAGTAAGCACTGTCTTTTCAGAGAAAAGGCATGGTTTACATTACAGCCTAGGGATACATTCAGTGGCCACTCCTCAGATGGCTGCTTGAGGTGCTTCCTGGGGTGTGCAGCACTGCATTTAATGTATCCAGCCTCTGCATGGAGACACTGAACTTTCCTCATAGAGATGCATTGATTTAATTCATCTCTATGAGTAGATGCTGATTGGCCAGGGCTGTGTTTGGCACTGCCCTTGATCTGCATCCTTGGCAGTCTCAGCCAGTCCAATGCTTTCCTATGTGACAGCATTGCGATTGGCTCAGAACACCACTCCTGATGATGTCAGCCAAGCAGGCAGATCAAGGACAGATCATGCAGCAGCAGACTGGAATAAAGGTAATATTTTACTATATTTAGGGGAGGGCAAGTGGAGCCGGAGAGGGCTAGATGGTAGTTTTAACACTATAGGTTCAGGACTACATGTGTGTTCCTTAAAAGAACAGACTATGTCAATGAAAACTTTTATTGTTCCTTGAGTGACTAATATTAAATATGTCTGTGTGTGTACATATTGTACACTCTGCATATTCTATAGTTCTCCATCATTTTAGCTTTGTACACAAATAGTCTTGTATTTTTACTGCAAAGAATGTTCCTCTTTGTCCTTTAGCAGTACTTGCAGCTATGAGCAATTGTTTACACCCAGTCTTACTGGTGACTTTCTTTGTATGCTGATAGATGAGTTTACTCCTTTTAAGACCTTTGCTCTACCGTTCTGAGTGAAGCATTCTTAAATTCCATAACTTTATTCTCTTTTGAACACACAAATAGTGTCTCTAGTCTCCTGGCAGCTATGCAACTGCATGAACTTTGAGCAAAATGTTATGAGTTTAGCATAGCAATGCTTTATGGGTACAGCAGGAATTCTGCTTTCTGGTGTAATGGAAAGACCATTGATGTTTTATCATCAAATTCTGGCCATATGGCAGGATAGAATGTCCTGATTATTTGGTAGTTGCAGTTCAATGCAGCCATTAAAGGGATACTATATGCACCCTGGTCATTTTATCTCATTGAAGTGGTCTGGGTGAAGTAAAAACATTATAGCTTCAGAGAAACTGCAATGTTTACATAAACCCACCTCTAGTGTCTGTTTACCAGACAGCCACTATAGGTGCTTCCTGGATTCTCACGGAGTTGAACTCTATAAAAAGCTTTGCATGAGGATATCCAGCATCTTCAAAATCCCCATAGGAAAGCATTGGTGCAACCTTTTCTTATGGAGAAGCTCTAATGCGCCTGTAGTGCTTGCCGTGCATGCGCAATGGGTTCCTCTTGATGTTGCGGGAGGAGGAGAGCGACCTGGGTGGAATGCCTGTCTGGGTGGAATTAAGGTAAGTGTTAAAAGAGTTTTTAACCCTTTCATTTGTGAAGGACACAGCTAAAGTAATAGCAACAGGGGCAGACCAAAGTGTTAAGAATACAGTTTTGTATTCCTATCACTATAGTGTTCAGACAGAATTATTCTGTCATTGATCGTTAAGAGGTTACATCTCTGCTGTCAGAGATAAAGCAACAACATGAACTGTTGAAATTGTTGTATGATTGCTTTTTGTTAATTTTTATAAGCGTACAAAATATGTTTAGAGTTTTAATAGATTTTTTTTTGTTCCTTATTCCATGAGACATCAGCTGCGCCATACTATTGTATGATGCATATTGATTTACAAAGTGAATGCTAGTTGGTTATCTGGGAACACTCAACTGTCTTTCGAGCTGCTTGTCATCTCCTTATAAGGAGACATTACTAAACAAGGGTTAAATAAACGCTAGGGGATGATGAGATTTATACATAAAGGTATTTGCAATGAATGGAATTTTCAGCCATGGTTGAAAACAAATTTAAAACTGATTTAAAGTAAACCCCTTACTAAATAAGTGTTTTAAAAGAAGGAACATGTTACGGTTTATTTTCATGTCTGGAAGAGAAATTACAGAACTGAAATAAGTAGTTATATGGCAATGGAAAAAAACAAACTAAAAGAAAATACCAAACAGCATCCAAATCTTGTTTATAAAGAATAATTATAGGACCACTATAGGCACCCAGACCACTTTCACTTAATGAAGTGGTCTGGGTGCCAGGTCCAGCTAGGATTAACCCTTTCTTCTATAAACATAGCAGTTTCAGAGAAACTGCTATGTTTACAATAGGGTTAATCCAGCCTCTAGTGGCTGTCTCATTGACAGCCGCTAGAGACACTTCCGCGCTTCTCACTGTGATTTTCACAGTGAGAAGACGCCAGCGTCCATAGGAAAGGATTGAGAATGCTTTCCTATGGACTGGCTGAATGCGCGCGCGGCTCCTTATGCGCATTCAGCCGATGACGTCGCTATGGAGGAGGAGAGTTCCCCGCCCGGTGCTGGAGAAAGAGGTAAGTTTAACCCCTTCTACCCTCTGGAGCCCGGAGGGAGGGGGGCCCTGAGGGTGGGGGAACCCTCAGGGCACTATAGTGCCAGGAAAACGAGAATGTTTGTTTTCCTGGCATTATAGTGTTCCTTTATTTATGGATATTAAACTAGCAGAGGGTTTGAAGTACAGATGTATAGATATCTGCATTTTTATTTTTTGGCTTGGCAATTTCAATTTCAATTTCAGGTAGGCAGGCCAACTGGCAGAACCATGAGACTACCATAAAGTAAATGGACACTATAGTCACCAAAACAACTTTAGCTTAAAGAAGCAGTTTTGATGTATAGCTCATGCCCCTGCAGTCTCACTGCTCAATTCTCTGCCATTCAGGCGTTAAATCACTTTGCTTATGAACCCCAGTCACACCTCCCTGCATGTGACTTTCACAGCCTAAAGTGTATCCTTCCTTTATTGCATGTTTTGTTTAATTTAGATTTTCCCATCCCCTGCTATGTTAATAGCTTGCTAGACCTGCAAGAGCCTCCTGTATGTGATTAAAGTTAAAAGGTTAAAAGTTAAAAGGTAAATTATATCTGATTGAAAGTGAAACCAGTTTTATTTTGTTTTTTTTTTCATGAAGGCTGTGTCAATCAGAGCCAGGGGAGGTGTGACAAGGGCTGTATAAACAGAAACAAAGTGATTTAACTCCTAAATGTCAGTGAATTGATTGAGCAGTGAAACATGAGAAGCATGATCTATACACTAAAACTCCTTCATTAAGCTAAAGTTATTTAGGTGACTATAGTGTTCCTTTAATATAATATAGCCTGCTGGTCCTTGCTTTTGAAATGCCTGCAGAACAGGTTCAGCAAATAGATTGTATACATAGCAACTCTTGTAACAAGGCTGGATAGAAACAGTTATTTATGATCTGATAGGCCTTGCCTGACCATAGTACACCCACATAATAATTTTATCAGTAACCATAAACTGCACTTTGTAGATAGATAAGGTATCCTTTTGGTGTACATATTCACTATTTTTGTATATATAAAAAACTGCCCACGATTATTCTTCATTTTATTGTGTTATAATGGCTCCAATGATGATTTGCTTCTTTGCCCAGGCATTTACAAGCATATAATTCATGCATTATTACGTTCTGTCCAGGGTGTCTTTATTCCGTACATTTTCTATGATTATTAAGTTCAAGATGAACTTGTACATTTCTTGGCAGTCTAGGGTGTCACTTCATGGAAAGGTGGTATGATAGGGCCCACTTTCATATTTTAAATGTAGTTATTTGTGTAGAAGCTTCTCTCTCCCTTATGCTTTTAGTGAGGCTCTCTTTAACTCAAACATAGAACGTGATGGCTTAGTCTGCTCAATTTTCTAAATACTTTCATTAGTCCCTGGCCTTATCCTAACTCTAGGATAGCCTTATGCCTATCCCACACATGCTTAAACTCCCTCACTGTGTTAACCAAACTGGTTATACAGTTGTGTATGTTGTGCCTAGATGGGTATCGATTGCACCTCGCTGATGAGAACCAAAGAAGGCCAAAACGATAGTCTGCAGTTGCTGTAACTCTCGAGCAGAGGAAACTTGCCAATGATTTGGATCTGAACTGCCCTTATGTACCGGACAATTATAATATGCACGTGTTATAGGTTCTCTCTGAGCAGATATCATTTTTGAGACATGAGCGGGGACTATTCGAAGGGCAAGCTATTGAGGTTTCTCTAAGCTTTTGCCCTTCTCAGAATTTCCCAATTCTCTGTTTTTGACTGAATTCTCTCTGATCATCCCTGAAGAGAGACTGAGTAGTACTGACAATGCATTTGTCAACTCTCTACTTTTCTCTCTTCCTCCTCCGATTATATGGCCCCTGGAACTGCAGAAACTTAAAACTAACTAAAACCAGCATCAGATACCACTGTACTATCCAACCCCAACAATTCCAATTGTATATCTCCTTCCTCTCTTGAAATGGCTGCCCTCAGTCACATGATTAGTGTTCACAGCAACCAGATGGTTCTTTCTTCTCATTTACAGCTATATAGCCGAATCACCTAAAAGGGACAATATAATCACCAGTACAACTACAGCTTATTGTATTTGTTCTGGTCTGTATAATATGTCTCTGCAGGCACGCTCTGCATGGAGACTCTGAGCATTCCCCATAGGGATGCATTGATTCAATGCATCTCTATGAGGAAATGCTGATTTGCCAGGGCAGTGTTTGGCTACACCAGTGGTAGTCAACCTTTTTCTACCTACCGCCCACTAATGCATCTTTTTTTCTACCTTACCGCCCACCAGTTTTCGCGCAAGTGCAGAATATTTTTTGGAAAGGAGGGTGTTTTAAAAAAAATAAAAATAAACGTACGTACATTTATCTTTTTATTTCTACTTAATGCATGTTTATAATGTTTAATGAGAAAACAATAAAGTAAATTGAAATTACCTTTTTCTAGTGATTAATGAGATCCTTGAGGTTGATGCTGCAAGATTAATATTTGATATCTGGTTCGATTTTCGTAAGGAACAAACGAAGGTCTCCTCTTTCGTGATATTCAGACGACTTCTCTGATTGCGCATAATATGATTTCTCATCTGTGCGTCAGCTCCCCTCCTCTCCCTCCTCAATTCCCTCCCCACCTCCCCCCCCCTTTTTTATTTTTTAACCTTCCTTATATCAATGCCCAGTAGGAAGGCTGAGCTAGGTATCCCACTTACTATTACTTACTATAGCCCACTATAACAGACAGACAGACAGACATACATACAGACAGACAGACATACATACAGACAGACAGACATACATACAGACAGACAGACAGGCACACACACGTACAGACAGACAGGCACACACACACGCATACAGACAGACAGGCACACACACACGCATACAGACAGACAGGCACACACACACGCATGCAGACAGACAGGCACACACACACGCATGCAGACAGACAGGCACACACACACGCATGCAGACAGACAGGCACACACACACGCATGCAGACAGACAGGCACACACACACGCATGCAGACAGACAGGCACACACACACGCATACAGACAGACAGGCACACACACACGCATACAGACAGACAGGCACACACACACGCATACAGACAGACAGGCACACACACACACATACAGACAGACAGGCACACACACACGATACAGACAGACAGGCACACACACACCATACAGGCACACACACACGCATACAGGCACACACACACACACACGCACACACACAGCATACAGGCACACACACACGCATACAGGCACACACACACGCATACAGGCACACACACACGCATACAGGCACACACACACGCATACAGGCACACACACACGCATACAGGCACACACACACGCATACAGGCACACACACACGCATACAGACAGACAGGCACACACACACGCATACAGACAGACAGGCACACACATGCACAGACAGACAGGCACACACATGCACAGACAGACAGGCACACACATGCACAGACAGACAGGCACACACATACAAAGACACACATATATACAGACACACACACATATATATACAGACACACACACACACACACACGACACATACAAAAACACATACATACACACACATACAGACAGAAACACAGAAGACATACATACAAAGACACATAAACAAACAAACACAAAATATTTTAGTCACCCTCCTGTTTCCTACCTTTTAGGTGCAGGAGGGTGACTTTCCCTGGGGTCCAGTGGTGGCTCAGGTGGATGGGAGTCAGAGTTCCCACTCTGACTCCCTCCTCCTTCCTCCCGCGCGGTCTGTGTGTTAGCTGGGAGGAGTGACGTGCAGTCACTTCCTCCCAGCTCTGTGATGTAATCATAAGGGGCCCGGTCGCGCTGTTAAAGCGCCCAGCGCTGACTGGGCCCCCTCACAATCCACATCCATCGAGTGGCCCTGACAGCATGGGATGGACCCCTCCATATGTGGCCCCGGCGGTTTGCTGCGCAGGCCGGGGCTGCAAGTGGTGATGGCGGTATCCGGTCGCAGGGGTACCCGGTCGCAGGGGTACCGCCCGCCCAATCAAAATGAGAAAATCCCTACCGCCCACCTGTAATCCTGAAACGCCCACTAGTGGGCGGTAGGGACCAGGTTGACGACCCATGGGCTACACTTTTATATTCCTGAGCCAATAGTGTTTGCTTTTTTTTTTTTTACTTGGATCCTTGAGTGTGAAGTACATCTCCTTGTATGAGTGTGCAAGCAAAAAACAATAATTAAATATGCTTTAGCATAACATATAGCCATTGCCAAGCCTAGGAAATTTGTCTCCGTAAAAACAGTGAAGAATGACCCTTAGGTTTGAATCTAAAGTTGAAGGTACCTCTTTGTGGGCTCACTTTCTTGCTTTTCTTTCAAAAGCAGGCACTATGCATTGTTATGGAAAATTGAGGCTATAAGTACAAAAAAAGTAAAAGATTTTTCCTAATTCACTATTTTACCTTTATCTTGGTCATTCAGAATTTAAAGAACACTTTATATTAAAGAAAAATTATATATAATGTTTTTTTTTTGCTAATTAGAGGGTTTGTATTTCTGTTTAGATGTTCGACCTTCCTCAATCTTGACCTTGAAAAGGTTACAAATGAGCTTTATTCCAGTGCTGGCAGAGTCTCTGTTCGCCAAGTCAATTCTGTTTTCATTTTGACTATTCTGGCTGTACATTTTTATTTTACAATTCTCTCTTTAGTGAATAACACTGATAGTGTAATTCTGAATAAAATTATGTTTGCGATCAAAAGTTATTACTGCATCTACCTGGTTCAATTACTTATTTTTTAGTGTTACTTCCGAGTGATAAGGAGCTGTTAATTTATATATTAACAGCTCCTTATCACTCGGAAGTAACACTAAAAAAATAACTAATATATCTTTGTCTTTCCTTATTGTTGTCACCCACACCGGTCTATAAAGTAATCTAAGGCGTAGATATATTAATAAGGGCTGAGATAGTAAGAATACAACAACCTGAAGGAGCGTTGTTAAAAAATAAATATGTATATTCTTTTTAATAAATAGATGATTGGTTTCCAAATTGTTTTAAAATGTATATTAAATTATTAAATGCCCTCTTTAATAAAAATATGCCAGATTCTGTAAGCCCACCTCCCTTTGCAAAGGCTTCTAAAATGAGTATATCGATCAGACTGAGTGCATTCATATGGAGAAAGGGAACTGATGCTATTAGCTTAAAGGGACACTCCAGGCACCCAGACCACTTCTGCCTATTGGAGTGGTCTGGGTGCCAACTCCCACTACTCTTAACCCTGCAAGTGTAATTATTGCAGTTTTTTATAAACTGCAATAATTACCTTGCAGGGTTAACTCCACCTTTAGGGGCTGTCTACTAGACAGCCACTAGAGGGCACTTCCTGCTTCATAGCACAGAAAACCTGTGCTAGAGCATCGCTGTGTGAGGACCTCCAGCGTCGCTCAATTCCCCATAGGAAAGCATTGAAAAGCATTTTTAATGCTTTCCTATGGAGAGCTCTAATGCTCATGCGCGGCATTAGGTCTCCCCGGCCGGTGGGCGGGATCAGTCTCGCCCACCGGTTGACGTAATGCAGACACATGGGACATGTCGCTGCCTCTGTTAAGTCACTAAAGGGGTTTTCACACCTTCAGCAACCGGGGATTGGGGGGTGGGAGGGGACCTGCAGTGCCAGGAAAACGGATTGTTTTCCTGGCACTGGAGTTTCCCTTTAACACTTCTGTTGAATTGAAAATAAAAGTATGTTTCAGTAATAAGACAGAGTGAAATGTCAACAAGAGATAAGCATTCTGTACAGAGTGGTTGGTAGTCATGGAGCCTCCTACTTTGTGTTCACAGATAAGGAAACTTGCAGACCAGCTGTTGATTTTAAAAGTGTTAAGGGCAAATAAAAAAGCAACCTCCACCTCCCCCAAAAACAAACAAAAAAAACTGCTTATTATATTTTTGTCACTATATAACCCAAACTTAGATCTCAGCTATCTAAAACCGAGATCCCAAACTCTGCCTCCCCAATGGTGGTAGAATTATTTGAATGCAACAGATAACCAAAGAATCTGGGGAGGGCGGCCGGAGTTTGAGATGTATGATTTATAGCAAAACGTGAATGTAAACTACTCGGTCAACTTAAAAGGACACACTATAGGCACAGAGACCACTTGATCTCATTAAAGTCATCTGGCCCCTGTCCTTTTATCTCTGCAATGTAAGGCATTGCCATTTCTTTCATAAGTGAAGTAAAGGGTTATTAACCTTTTCAACACCAAGGATGGACAGCGGACCTAGAGTTAATTGTAGAGGGACACTTTAGAGTTAGGAATAGTTTTCCTTTAACGAAGTATTAGAAAACTTGCATATTTTATTTTTCTCAGAAACTCACAGATAATGATCTGAGGAAGTAATACAACGGTCAGGCTGTTCCTATGGGATGATTCCATGGTTCCCTACATTATGCATTCCACCTCCCAAGTATTGGTCTCTCAGGTGACAATATGAAACCTTGGAATTAAACATTGCACGTTATAACCTCTCCACTGTTAAAGGGATATTCTAAATGCCAAGAATACATAGCTGTATTCCCTTACCACAGAGCCAATGTCCTCGGTGCTGGGTCCCGCCTCCTTCGATGTCCAGAGAGTGTATATTAGACCTTCCCATAGGGAAGTACTGAATCATTGCTTTCCTATGGAGACAAATCTGACGCTGGATGTCCTCATGCAAAGAGTGAGACCGTCCAGCGTCAGCTACTGGACCAAAGGTTTGTTAGGATCCAGGAAGCGCCTCCAGTGGCTGTCTTGTTGCAAATTGTACCGGCTACAAGAATAAAACATGCAGCAGTAACACTATGTTTACTGTATTTTTCATCAGCAGTGGTGTCCTGTGATCCTGGATCCTGATGCTGCAAGCCACATGGACCTGCTGATCCAACATATACACTTATGGAAAAATGGAGATGCGCAATAAACAAATTGCAGGATGATGCCAATCTGCCAGTACATCACATCCAGCACTTTTAGTATTATTAAATGATTTTTAAAAAGTCTGGGTTTTCAAGAGACTGTCTTTGGGAACCAGGAGTGCCCATTTTCTGTCAAACCAGTCAAGAGACTTCACCCAAAGACCGCTTGCTCTATAACCACTGTGAGAAGCACAGTTGTTGAGATTAAGTGGTCTGTGTAATTTTAGTGTCTAAGTAAAAAACTAATATTTTTGATCGTCTGCAGAGGATTCATATAAATACACAGGTTTCATATAGAAATTGTGCAGGAATTCTAACTAAGTGGCTAACACTCTCATCTCTATTTACAGCGAGTGACAAGGTCAGAGAATTATTTGCCAAAGCCCGAAATGGAAAGTATAGACTGTTGAAACTTGATATTGAAGATGGTAAGTTATCTTATTTTTTTATTTTAACTTGTTTAAAGTTGAATAAATAAGTCACCGAAACAACTTGAGCTTAATGGAGCAGCTTTTATGTATAAATCATGCCTGTGAAGTTGCACAGCTCAATTCATGGCCAATTGTTTTGGTGACTGTAGTGTCCCTTAAAGGGACACTGTAGTCACTATAAGCATTTCATCTCTTTGAATTGGTTATAGTGCCTGGAGTGCACCATGTTCGTGCAGTATGCCACAAAATAAGAGTCCCTGGCCACCCACAGTCTGGCCCCTTAAGTATGTGTAGCTAAGGCAGAGATTACACACTTCCTTGTTGTCATACCCATTCATACCGTCAGTTGGAACTCTGACAGGCTAAAAGCAGTCAGCTGACACTCTCAGCCAATCACAGCTGCCTATTGCTGCTCAGCCCAATACTTCCTTATTAGCCAAAGCAGCACAGAGGGGATGGACTGCCGGGTCTCTTGTTTAGCATTAAAAGTTTAAAAACTGTTTAATGCTGAAAGAAATGATGGTACCAGAGGACTCCAGACACTATGACCAGTTTAATGAGATGAAGCAGATACAGTGCCTACGGTGTCCCTTTAATGTTTGTTGTTTTTCTGAATGCACATGACTTGTCTACAATAAGAAGCAAAATTCTTATTAAATAGCTTAATAAAATCAGTTAATGAAAACAGATCTGAGCAAAATATGAATTGCCAATACCTCCCTACTGAAATCAGTAACTTGGGCGACAAGAAGCCAGATCACAGTTTGTTATTGATAACAACCATTTCATATTTCCTTTAGAGGTGTAGGTATTATGGTGCTAGCAGGTTATTGTGCAGTCCTGTTTATGTTTTTTTTTCTTAATTGTACTTCCTCATAGATCTGCCAAATATCTGGAGGTGTACTCATTGCTTGAGCGCTGTAATATGGAATGATTCAGCAGCACCAAATCATTTTTTTTTCTTTTGATGCAGCTAAATCTCTTTTACCCTTTCAGTGTCATCACATCGACACAAGCTCTATGTAGTCAGCATATTAAGGTGTAATGCAGGTTATTAATATGTGTAGGGTTAACTCAGAGTCTTAAAAATAAATATATATATATATATATATATATATATATATATATATATATATATGGCAAATCTATAAGTGGATGCCTCTTCTATTAAGTGGATTTGGCTATTTCAGCTACCACCCTTATTGCTCACATGGTGTGTTTAATCTGGCACACAGGCCATGCAGTCTTCATAGAGAAATACTGTCAGTAGAATGGCCTGTACTGCTAAGCTCAATTACTTCTACACGGGGTCATTGTCATAGGATATCACTATTCCAGCAAGGCAGTTTGGGTTTCTGACTTGTTATAGCTGCTCTGGTCAGCTGTTATTGTGAAGTGGGAGCAACTGCTCAGGAATTCAGGACACACGCTGACACCGAATAGTGTGTAAAAGTTTGTCTTTTGTTGCAAAAGCCGTGGAGCCACTGTAGGAAGAAAGAGCAAGTTTCACCAGCATTTTTATTTATTTTCAAGAGACTACCTGACTATGAACTTCAGTTGGTTTAACATAATTAAAAGTCCTTCTGTCTTAGTAAGTAAATAGTCCTCAGGCAGTCAGTGTATTTCATAGCTAATTCTAAATGAAATGGCTTCTAGTGAAATAATATAATGAAAACACTTTAAGCTGCGTCCGGATCAGTACGTTCTTTAAGAAAATAATTGGACAGCCGTAACAGTAGCCCATCCCTACAACTCTTACTCGTTTGTTTTTAAATCTAGGAATTCGTTTTTTGTATTGTACCATGGTGACCAAAATCATTATACAATGAGGTGAATGTCAGAAAGGACAAAGTACCTGTGTTTTTTTTCCCCATCATACCTCCTTTAACAGACACTGCTTTCTTTCTAGAAAAACTGACTGTCAGCTCATATGAAAAACCCGTAGACTCTTGGGATAGAGAATTTGATGCTTATATTCTCCCATTGTTGGAAGACAAGCATCCTTGCTATATTTTATATAGGCTGGATACCCAGAATGCACAGGGCTACGAGTGGATCTTTATCGCATGGTCGCCAGACTACTCTCATGTAAGTTTACCACTCGGACAGGGGGAAAAATAAATAATGTACGCTAAATTCTTACAGTTTTTTGATATTGCATAGAAACTACTAAAGTATGTAATTACCACACGTGTCTCACTCTCATTTAAACCAATGTAAGTCAGTGTCTCAATAAAACCTTCTGAGGATGCGTCTCTCTCCTGGGCAGTATTGGCCAATTATTGTACAATTATTTACTAAAGTGTTAATTGCTGTGAAATCAAAGTAAATGTAAAGGTTTAGCCAAATTGGAAAAAAAGTCCGCTATATTTCCTGTTTCATGAATTCATTTTTAATTTCTATGAATTTGCTTTGAATTGCTGACAGTTTGCCATTTAGAGAAATACTGTTTTACTATTCCACTGACATAGGCAATCCTGGTTGTCGTAGTCCGTACTGCTAAGGTGTTAAAATATTTTCACTTTATTGCCCAGTTTGCTCTATAAAATACTCCCTTTTCCCTTAAATCAAATAAATTTGTTTGTTTTCTTCTTGGCATGGCCATAATTCATAAAAACCAAAGCTGTTGGTGTATTTTCCCCTGTAGTGGCAAAAGTTGGAGCTCCCATAAGTCTTTGCACATCTTTCCTTGTTCTGTCCTTGTAATGCTCAGTTCAAATTCTGTGTTCTAAGGACACAAATGATCATCAACATATATGTCTTCATAAGGTTCACTCACATATTATTTCATTTCCAGTTGCTCGCTAATTATCTTTTTCTTTGTGTACTGGCTTATTGGCTCTGCTAACCATAAAATAACCTGCTTGTAGCAGTTTCCTTGGTTACCCAACAGTTAATCCAAATTTGAGATACTTGGTCAGACTGAATACATATGGTAATTCCCTACAAGAATAAAACTTTGTAATTATACAAATAAACCTGATTCATTTTGTGGTATGCAGTTCACTTGTATCATGGGCAGGAGATTTTTTTTTTTTTTGTTTACAGTGGATTATCAGGTTACGTGATATTATGGGATTCGTGTTTTTTTCTCTTTAATTTTATCTATTTAAATTTGTTAACGAGGCAATCATTAGTTGTGTGATTTCATCTTATTAATTTAATGGAAAAAAAATCTGTATTTAATCACAGTGGTTTTAAAGAGAATGTAGCCTTGTTAAACCATTCTGTCTAATGAAAACAATAGTTGATTAAATAGCATTTTTCCTTAAATAAAAATCATTTGATTAAAAATATGTTTGAAAAATGATAGTCTCTTATCTGAGATCAAATAAATGGGTTTTCACTAAATTGAGAATTCAAAATGAATTTCAAATTTAAAGCCAGAGTAGCGGAACTGAAATCATAGCTGACTTTTTCCTAGTTTTAGTATTTTGCTCTAAAATCTGAAATACACTCTGAATTCATATTTTGGTGAATAACCCACTAAGGCTTTAATTCAGCTTTGTGGAAAGAAGGGGTTGATCTGCTATGTATCCAAGTGCTTTTGTCTCCAGCCGCAGAGTAACATTTTGTTGAACATCTTAGGTTAGACAGAAAATGCTATATGCTGCAACGAGAGCAACTGTGAAGAAGGAATTTGGAGGAGGACATATAAAGGATGAACTTTTTGGTACAGTAAAAGTAGGTGTATTTTCACATTATAAACCAAAGTAGTTATGTTGATTCTTTGCAATTATTTGTGTCAATGCCAGAAAAAAAAAAAAAAAATGAAGTCCATATAATGTATGTTTATATAACAAATACCAATGCTTAAACTTATGTCAGTTCATAACAGGTGTGTTGGAATTTAAACAAAATGTACTTATCCAAAGGACTAAAGTGGTAGCCCATTTTACTGGTTCGTCTTCACAATCTACTTGTCGTGAAATACAATTTCAAATTTTAAAGATTTTAGAGGCCATAATAACTGATCTGGAAAAATACTCCAACTCTGCTATGGTCACAACAAGCTATTTGTTTCCATTCAGATTTACTTTAGTGTGTCACACTCTCTCCTCCCACTTAGTGTCTGCGGGGTGTGTTTTGGCATGGTGTGGTATGTGTTGGCTGTATGTAATGATTGTGGTGTGTGCTGCCTGTATGTATTGTATGTGGTGTGTGTTGCCTGGATGTATTGTGTGTGCTGGCTTTATGTACGTATGTGTGTGTGGGGTGTGTGCTGGCTTTATGTATGTGTGTGTGTGTGCTGGCTGTATGTAAGGTGTCAAACAAGGGGGATGAAGGTTGCTCCAGGAATTATAAAAAACAGAGATATGTTATTAAACAAATAAAAAGCAAAAGAAAGTTCAAATAGAGGTCCAAGTGTGAATCCAAATGGTAAAACTTGCTGGTAGATAAACCCTCAAAGAGTCAAGGTAGTTCCTCTGGAATGGGATCAGATCAGAGTATTCTTGGCAGCCATATATGCAACAGAAAGTGAGAACTAATGGTGCAGAAAATCCCAGAATAACATAGAAGTAAAACGTCTATAGTCTACTTACAACTGATAGAGCTTAACCTAGCTCTAGTCTGAATGGCGTACAGTGGTACAATCCCCACTTATAGGGTAGGTAGGATGGTGTAGGTAGGCAGATGTATCATCGGTATGAAGATCATAAAGTATATTAAAGAGACCGCAATAGTGCGCACAGTATAAAAGGTACCAGGAGTATAGAATAAAGTTATAACACATCTCTGTTTTTATAATTTCTGGCGCAACCTTTATCCCCTCTGTTTGAATCATCTCTATTGTTTAAAAGGCTTAGAAGGGATGTTTTAAGGTTTTGCCTACTTTCATTTTTGTATTTTTATATTTATCTTTTATTTAGGTATATTAGCGCTGATCCTGTTTATCCTTTTGTCTATTTCTGTATGTAGTGTGTGTGCTGGCTGTATGTAGTGTGTGTGTGTGTTGGCTATATGTAGTGGGTGGGGCTGTGTGTGTTTGTGTGAGAGTGCTGGCTGTATGTAATTGTGTGTGTGTGTGTGTGCGCTTGCTGTATGTAATGTGTGCGCTTGCTGTATGTAATGTGTGCGCTTGCTGTATGTAATGTGTGCGCTTGCTGTATGTAATGTGTGTGAGCTTGCTGTATGTAATGTGTGTGAGCTTGCTGTATGTAATGTGTGTGAGCTTGCTGTATGTAATGTGTGTGAGCTTGCTGTATGTAATGTGTGCGCGCGCTTGCTGTATGTAATGTGTGTGAGCTTGCTGTATGTAATGTGTGTGAGCTTGCTGTATGTAATGTGTGTGAGCTTGCTGTATGTAATGTGTGTGAGCTTGCTGTATGTAATGTGTGCGCGCGCTTGCTGTATGTAATGTGTGTGCGCGCTTGCTGTATGTAATGTGTGTGTGTGTGTGCGCGCTTGCTGTATGTAATGTGTGTGCGCTTGCTGTATGTAGTGTGTGTGTGTGTGCGCTTGCTGTATGTAATGTGTGTGTGTGTGTAGGCTTCATGTTGTAGTTGTGTGTTTGTGTCTGGCTTGTGAAGATTGTAAGTGTGTGTGTTTAGGCTGTATGTATGTGTGTACTGGCTGCATGTGTGTGTCTGTTTGGTGTTTGCTGGTTGTATATTGTGTGTACCTGATTTGTATTAGCTGTATCTTATGGTTGTGTGTGTGTGTGTGCGCGCGCGCTAGCAGTATATTGTCTGTTTGTCTAGTGTGTACTGACTGGTGTATGCTGATTGTAATGTATCTGGTGTGTACTGACTATATGATGTGTGTGCTGTCTTTGTATAGTATGGTGTGTGCTGGATCTCTTACTCTCACTGGATCTCTTAATCTCACTAACCCTCATTCCAAATCGGGATCTGATTGTTTCTCACGGTACCGACACTCACAGAGTCAGATTGCATGCTGGGAGTTTGACTCACTAGAGAGCGCTGGAACCGCTGATTTAAGAACAGCCGTGCTGTTTGCCCATGGTAGGGCTAAATAGTCAAACAAAGTACCTGCCAGCGTGTGGAACTGAGGCATTACAAATTTCACATACCTGCTCAAGACACTTCACCCTAAACAGACATTTAACTATAATTTACATTCAATTTTTTTATACAGTAAATTACAGTCAAGGTCGGTGTACTTGATAACTTTAGGTCAGTACAGGCAGCAGTGGGGAATAAACTGAACATTGCAGTAAACAACTAGGTATACCTGGGAACAGGGAAATTCAAGTAATCAAAGCAAAATTGAATCAACAATGCAAAGTACAGAAAGATGTCCCTACACTGGTCTTGCTTATTAGTGTATTGACAAATAATACAGGAGAGTGTGTAGTTTATGCACAATACAATATTGTCTACATAGAGAACTGTCCAACCCTCACTACAACGTCTACATAATTTTATTTTGCTTTGCATATCAATGAAATTGAATTTATTAATCTCTGCTTACCTTCTCTTTTCTAGTGCCACTTTTTAATTTGCATACAAATTGTATTTCGATATTTCTATAATTCTGCTTTTAAATAGCACAACATTGCACTTTTGTCCTTAATGTCCTGACTTTTTTTTTTTTTTAAGGAAGTTTCACGTAAATACTAAAATTTTAAAAATGTTACACTATTTACACATGACTATTACACGCTTACTACACCACCCATACTGATCTAATCTGCCTGTACAGAATTATTTAGCTGGCAAAAGCTCATTAAATACAGAATTGCAGTTAAATGGGAACATAGTTGCAAAAAATAGCTAATCTGTAAAATCTTCGTCACTGCTATAGTCACAGATTGGGTGTTTTAGTCTAAATGTCACCATTCAGTTTCCATTAATTAGCAAATAAACCTCGGAATGTCCCATTGTTTTTGCAACAGCTGTATGACTGACAAGTTAAAGCGGCACTGTCATGCCGAACTTACCTTTCCTCAATCTTTTCCTCTTCTCCCCCTCTCTCAGGATCTGTTCTTCTTTTCTTCCTGTCTTCTTTAGTTTTCTTTAAAATCATAAGACAAAGTAGGGACTCTTTGCCTTATGGAGGATTCCTCCGCTTGACCAGCGGAGGAGCAAAGTGTGCTTCATTTCTGCTGGTCAGAGCAATTTTCCCATAATTCTTACCTTTCCTCAGTGTTCCTACGATGCTTCCTGTCATTTTACACGAAACTGCCGAATTGCGTTCTAACTGAATGAGAACAGTATGTTCGTTTCTTTTAGAACTCAATTCGGCACTTTATTCGGATCGCAATTTCATTCGAATGAATGAAACTCCGATCCTATTCTTGCTGTGGCTGCATCTTGCAGCCGCTTAGTAGATAACGCCCTAATTCCCACGATATCAGGGAGTTATTTACTAAAAGGCTGAAAGACCTAAATTGGTCTTTTAGCCAACTTTACTAATACGAAGTAAAAATTACTTAGTATTAGTAAATGATCTGCCCCTACTAGCTATACTGTGAGTAGGGGCATGTCTGGTAAACAGTGAGCAGCCTGTGGCTGCTCACTGTAAAAAAATAAAAAAAAACTATTGGCACCCACCCCTAAACGACAGATGGGGGCCCTAAAGTAAAATAAGGGGGGAGACCTAATGTCCCCCTCCGGCCCCCATCCCTGCACAGTGGGTGGGGGTCATAATGATAATGGGGGGGGGGGACCTACTGCTCCCCCCGCCCGGCCCCCACCCCTGGGGTCATAATGATAATGAGGGGGACCTACTGCCCCCACCCCTGGGCGTCGGTTGGGGGCCATAATGATAATGAGGGGGGGGACCTACAGTCCACCCCCCCTCCGGCCCCCACCCCTGGGCGGCGTGTGGGGGCCATAAAGATAATGGGGGAGGTGGGATCTACTGTCCTCTCTCCCCCGGCCCTCACCCCTGGGCGGCGGGTGGGGGCCATAAAGATAATGAGGGGGAAGGACCTACTGTCCACCCCCCCTCTGGCCCCACCCCTGGGCAGCGGGTGGGGGCCAAATGATAATGAGGGGGGGGGACCTACTGTCCTCCCCCACCCCTGGGCCCCCCCACAAGGTGACTAGGGGTCCCCAAGGCCCTAGTCACCCACCCCTCCACCCAAATAAAAAGTCTCTACCTACCCCCCTCACCCTTAAAAAAAGTGAGGGGGGAATAAAATAACTAACCTGTAAAATAAAATTAAACTTACCATTCGACGTCTTCTTTTTTCTAAAATCTTCATTTTTCAGCCCCAAAAAAAGCCAAATAAAAAACCATCATAACCGTCGAACTTAAAATAAATTAAAAATCCCGAGCGCAAAAAAAAAACCTGACGAAAAAGAAAAAAACAGAGCGCAAAAAAATAATCCATCTTCACCCATGGAGGGCTCTGCGCAGACTGAGCTCCGCAGGGTGGGGGAAGGCTTATAAAGCCTTGCCCCGCCCTGCAATTAGGCTAAGAACACTCTGATTGGTGGGTTTAAGCCAATCAGAGTGCTCTTTGTCATTTTACACAGCATGGGAAAATTCAAAAGAACTTTCCCACGCTGTGTAAAATGACACAGAGCACTGTGATTGGATGGATTTCAAGCCATCCAATCACAGTGCTCTGTGTACCGGTAGCTCCCTCCTTGTAATAAACTGAACAAACAAACGAACGCTGATACTCAGATATTTCTATTCATTCGTTCGTCTGTCTGATGAATGAATGAATAGATGAAATTCCCGTTCGCATGTCCAGGTGTTTAACTGGGCATGTGCGGGAATTTCAGTCTATCTAGTGTGGGCAGATGATGTGTCCCAGAGGAACTTCATCTACCCACACAAAGATGGCGGCGCCCTGAATCAAGATCGGGGCAGAAAATAAGGAATAAAAAATTGGGGGCATTTGGGGGTGACTAGGGTGTCAGAGATAGTGGAGGCCGGAGGGGGGTTAAAAAAAAAACAGGATTTGGCATGACAGTACCACTTTAAGGGAGATTGAGTAGGAGATTAATGTTGAACATACAATTACTTTTTGTCAATTGAAGATGTTTGTTTTTTTGTTTTTCTGAAAACCTGGCAATTTCAACAAAAACTGTTGTATATTTTATTTTTCAATGTATTATTATTATTTTTTTAAACTCTCCTTTTTCATGTTGTGTTGCATAATTTACAGGACGATGTTTCACTGAGTGGCTACAAAAAGTTCTTAGCCTGTAAGTCTTCTCCTGCTCCTCTTTCTGCTGCGGAAGAAGAGTTGAGGCAAATAAAGCTTAACGAGGTAACGTGTGCGTCAACTGATTTACCATGTTTTCTCCTAATAAATATGTTGTACTGTTTATCTTGCATATCTAGTTTTACTCCTGTTCAGGTAATAATCATTTAGTTCTAGTTTTTAATAAGTCTCTGCAACACCACATTGGTGACACAGTGGTGCAACAAATGCATAGAGGGCCCTGGTGCAAGAAATTATTAGCGTAAGGGTGGCCAACAAATTCCCATATGTTGTACATATTCCATTGTCTATTGCCAGCAGGGGATCTACCATTTGCTCATCCTTGCAAGGTTTTACTTGTAAGCAGTTTTTGTTTGCTTGAATGTATGTATTATCACTATTTATTATCACACAGATACTAATACCCACACTGGCACACATAAAAACATATCCTTTTTACACACACAAACAGATACACACTGACACACATATACACATATCTACATAAACACACTGGCACACACACACATACATAAACATTGCCACACCCTCGCAGACACACATACCTACACATACACACGGCAAACACACACATTGCAATATACATATTGTTAACCACCCCCTGCTTCCATACCTTGTGGTTGCAGGAAGGTGACTTCCTACAGCTGGCTGCCACTAATGGGAGTCTGAAGTTGACTGCCTGCAATGTGCCCTCTTCCCTTCTCAGTGCCTCCTATGTCCCCTCCGAGCCCGCGCGGTTTGTAAGTTGAGAGGAAGTGACAAGTAGTCACTTCCTCCAAGCACTCTCTGCAAATTTTAAAGCAGCCTGGTGACTCTGCCAAAGGGCAGCAGCACCTAACTGTGCTCCTGAGGACTCGTGCCTGGATTCTTCTCTGCATCATCAATACTGCATGGGCCTCCAAGGTGCGTGGGGTTTGGTGCACTTGCACCAGCTGTAGTTCCACCACTGGTGTGACAGAGTAATACATTGTATTCTAAGTATTACTGGAATAAAGCTAAGCTCTTTTAATACTTTGCTGTAATCTTTCAGACCAAAACGGATGTTGGAGTAGACACTAAACAACAGACCCTTCAAGGAATATCATTCCCTTTAGAAAATGCTGCATACCAGGCTTTGGAACAGTTAAAGAGCAAAAAACTAAACTATGTACAGTTGGTAAGTTAGTATGATATGTCTTACAATACTGAAATACACTATGAAATGCCTGCTTCATATAACTGGAGTGCTAAACAGTGTGAATAAAAACATAGAATGTGACGGCAGATAAGAACCATTCGGCCCAATTTTCGAAATACTTTCATTAGTCCCTGGCCTTATCTTATAGCTAGGATGCCTATCCCACGCATGCTTAAACTCATTCACTGTGTTAACCTCTACCATTTCAGCTGGAAGGCTATTCCATGCATCCACTATCCTCTCTGTAAAGTAATGCTTCCTGATATTATTTTTAAACCTTTGCCCCTCTAATTTAAGACTACGTCCTCTCCTTGTGGTAGTTTTTCTTCTTTTAAATGTAGTCTCCTCCTTTACTGTGTTGATTCCCTTTATGTATTTAAAATGTTTCTATCATATCCCCCTCTCGTCTTTCCTCCAAGCTACACATGTTAAGATCCTTTAACCTTTCCTGGTAAGTTTTATCCTGCAATCTATGAACCAGTTTAGTAGCCCTTCTCTGAACCCTTTCTAAGGTATCAATATCCTTCTGAAGATACGGTCTCCAGTACTGCGTACAATACTCCAAGTGAGTTCTCACCAGTGTTCTTTACAATGGCATGAGCACTTCCCTCTTTCTACTGCTAATAACTCTCCCTAAACAACCAAGCATTCTGCTAGCATTTCATGCTGCTCTATTACATTGTCTGACTACCTTCAAAGGGACACTCCAGGCACCCAGATCACTTCTGCCCATTGGAGTGGTCTGGGTGCCGACTCCCACTACCCTTTACCCTGCAACTGTAATTGTTGCAGTTTCTTGTTGCAGGGTTAACTCCACCTCTAGTGGCTGTCTACTAGACAGCCACTAGAGGGCACTTCCTCATCCATAGCTAGAGCGTCGCTGGACGTCCTTGCGCTGTGTGAGGACCTCCAGCGTCGCTCATTTCTCCATAGGAAAGCATTGAAAAGCATTTTCAATGCTTTCCTATGGAGACATCTAATGCGCATGGTCTGTGCTTTTACAATTTATTTTAATTCTTTATTTTTGTTATTTATGAAAGGTACAAGATATCTGTAATCCTGATAATGCTCAGTGACAGGAGACGTATGCAATATTATATGTTTAAAAGACAGGCTGCACACATTTTTATAATAAAGACAGGCATACGTCATATGTGTAAAGTGGTTAGTGAGTACTTTGTTGGCATGCAGGCAGTCTAGACAGGAAGATTTAGAACATGACTATGGTTAATGAAACATGCTTAACTATGCAAAGTTAGTAGAATATTAAGTAAAAAGAATAACCTGCAAGACAGTCATGTCTGAATGTGAGATAATATATGAAATATAGGGCAAAAAGCACTAGAAAGGCATGACATGGTGATGCTTACAAATTATAGGAGTAGTTACATGGGATATGAACATGCTAGTTAAACTTTGCTTAAGAAATAAAAATATAAAAATAGAGAGTAGTCTGTTACTTCGAACGAGATCCAAAGCATTTAAAATACAGGAGTCCACCACATGAAAAGTCAGCCAGCCAGCTTGGAAGCTACATGGTGACATCGGGTAGAACAGCCCCTGTTGCCAAGAATGTCGGTGGGATGACCCCCACTGGTCCAGAGGGGGAGAGAAAGAGTGCAGATGTCCGCTCTGTGTCACGATGTGGCGTCTGGAGAGCGGCCGTCTCTGCAACGCCTGACAGACTTAAAGGCCGCAACAAGTTAGGGAAGAGTATTCCGGTTCAGGAAAGTACCGAGTCAGGTAATGATCGAATCACCAGACTCCCCACTAAGTGGTAAGTAGTAGCTTGGTGCGAAAAACTGCAGTTTGCCAAAGAAATAAAGCTTGTTAAGCAGATGTTGCTCAGGAGCTCGCCTTGCATGCTCCGCCCCCCCCATAATTTTATTTTTATTTTTTTTATTCTCAGAAAATCGATTTATACAATGAAACAATTGTTTTGGCGGATTCATCATATACAGATATAAAGGAGTTGCCGAAAAGGGTTCCAAAGGATGCTGCACGCTACCACTTTTTCTTGTATAAACATTCCCATGAAGGAGATTATTTGGATTCCATAGGTAAAAGAAAATTCATTATTGCATTGCATATATTGACTACACACTGTTTAAAACCTGCATTGCTGCACTTTCACTTCTGAGTGTTTAATGAAGATACATCCTGTGTATGCAACCCCCCCTCTCTCCAATCAGAAGACTGGCATTTTACAATTCCTAGTGTGAATGTGCATGGGCTGTGGTATGTGGCTCAACTTCAAATTTATACTGTTTATCATAAAAGATAACTTTTCATTTGTGCACTTGCTAACATTTTTTTCTAGCACAAGCTAGAATATAAATATTAACATAGGCATAGCACAGCCAATCAGAGCCTGCCACAATATCTCCCATCCATACATAATTGACTGTAATCCAAAGATTCTCCTCTTTCTTTGCTGCTTCCCTCAGACAAATTAAACCTTTGGTCACACACATGTATATAGACAGACATATATTTATGAGTTGCCGATATATCTATGCTCTCAGTGCTGTTATGTTTTTTTTATTTGCCTGTTACCTGTTCTCCCCACTATGGTTTCTCTTGTGCTGTTTTGTTTGCATAGTTACTCTAAACCCATTTTGGTTCTATAAGCATTTGCTCACACACTCCCCACCTTCCTCTCTCTTCATGTTTCAAACTGGGGTTGGTTGTGTTCCCCACTGCCGACCCCTTGCCTGGAATGCACTATTTTTGGGCATGATGAGCGGCGACCATTTTATTGGTGGATAATGATTTTTGCCGCTTATTCCTAGTCTCGCTATGCTCGATAAGAGCAAGCAAGGCTAATAATTCAAATACATAAAATAAGTCCTGCACTCAGACTCCCACTACTCCTGGGCGTCAGCAATGACCATAATACACATTAGCCTCAATGCATACAATAAAAAAGAAAGAAAAGTGTTACCTGCGCACTACCCCAAATCCCTATGCATATTTAAACAAATTTAGTTTTTTTGTTTCACTCCAATGGCCATTAGGTGTAATCCCACCTGCCACTACCCCATATGCTGACCCTATATTCTAATTTCTTCAGGGTTATTGCAGTATTCCTTTACCTGTACCTGTATACCAAACAGGGAAAGGAATACAGCAATAACCCTGAAGAAATTAGAATATAGGGTCAGCATATGGGGTAGTGGCAGGCCTCAGGATACGTAATATGGTGTCACAGGTAAAACATCCTAATGCTGGCAGCTCACTGAAAGATCCCTCAGGAATGCCTCAAGGGATCGCCGGGAGCCTACCTTATGACAGAGCACTCAATTAGTAGCCTTGCGCACTCTAAGCGACGTTAGCAAGACTATGAATGTGTGACAAAAAACAGCATCCACCAATAAAATGGCAGCCACGCGTCACAACCCAAAATTACGGATTTGCAACTGGTCATTCGGCACGGTCACATTCCTGGAGCGTGGGTCGTGGCCTTTGGGCCAGTGAGGGAGTCAGAAGGCAATGGATTGACGAAGAGTAACTAGGAAAACAAAACCGCAAAAGAAACCCCACAGTATAATAATGGGTGAATTAGATAACAGCACTGAGAGCATAGCTATATCCCTAACTGATAAATTTACATCAAGTGAGCAAACATTGTACTTATCTGAGGGAAGCAGCAAAGAAAGAGGAGGAGCTTTGGGTTACAGTCAACTATTTATGGGTGGGAGATATTATGGGATGCTATGATTGACTCTGTTATGGCTATGTTAATATTCTATGATGTCATTTAAAGTTTAGAATATTTCCCTTTTCTCTCCTTGCTGCTGAGAGAATAAAGTCAGAAAGAAGCATAATATTTGCCTCCGTGTCTTAATAAAATAGTGACTTTACGTCACGATATTAGTAAAATCTGGTAATTGTGTATGTTGTCATTCCAGTCTTCATTTATTCAATGCCTGGCTACACATGCAGTATACGAGAGAGAATGATGTACTCCAGCTGTAAGAACCCTCTGCTACATATTATTGAAAATCAAATACAGATGGAGGTTATAAAAAAGGTAGGTCTTCCTGTGACTCTGTGTACTGTTACAGCTATGTGTTACCAGTCTTAGAAATGCAGATAGATGGTCCAGCTACAAAAGCTGACCGATCACAATAAACACTAAACTAGGAATTGACAAAGGAATTGCACGTTTTGGACCACAATAATCAAGCTTGTAAAAGAATTGTTCCCCCGATTCAGATATTTGTCAGTTCATCCAGTTCTTGGTTTATAAAATAAATACAGTCTTATTTTAGTATGCAAAACCTCGGCAGTATTTTAGAGATACTCCGTGTTATTTACTACAGTGAGAATTCAAGCTAAAATCAAATAGCATTTTGAATTTAATGTAAAATAGGTAAACTGGAAAAATTAGCCTTAAAGGGACAGTCCAGACTCCTAAAAGAGTGTCTCCTCTTTTTTTTTGTCATTGTACAAAAAGTGCCGATTTTAATAGAAATTGACACTTATATAGATAAACCTTAGTACACCCCCACCCCCTGGCTGTCAATCAAACAACAGATCCTGTTACTTCCTGGCTTGGTTAGCTCAGTGGAGCTAAACTCAAGAGGCAGCAATTGCCCAGAGCACCTGCCTTGCAAAGCTGCATTGGGAAGCCTGTGGTTGGACAGCCACAGAGAATATGAGCTGGAGAAGAAAGGGAGGAGTTGCAAAGGCAAAAGACAAGAGAATTTGGCTTTTGCAAGTTGTTGGTAAATATACCCCAATGAAAAAAATGGATAATTATACATGCATGTTTTCATTGGGGGTATATGTACTAAACCGTGGTTTATACTTTTTTGTATTTGAGCATTGGAATCTCGATATTTGAATTATTATAAGAATACATTTCCGTGGTCTATACCAGGGGTAGGCAACCTTTTACTAGTACTGTGCCAAAACAAGATTTTGAAGTCTCTTGGAGTGCCACTCCTATTTTGTAATTTTTTTTTTTTTTGTGTGTATGTTGCCGTATTCTGCTTGTGTTATTTGTTGGTACAGCAGTTTCTTTGTAGCGTTGTATTTGTGTGTATGTAGGCTGTTATTTTGTATATATGTTCATGAGTAGTTTGTGGTATTGTGTATGATACCTATGAATGCAGGCTGTGTATGGGGGCTGCTTGTGGAATTTTGTATGTGAATGATATGTCACATTGCGTGTTTGTTGGTGTGTGTGTATGTGGATTGTGTTGTTTATGGGGGCTGTTCGTATTATTTGTATGAGGGGAGGTTTCTTTTCCAGCTCTGTGTATATCTAGCAGTGTGGGTGGCTTCCCTGGGGTCCAGTGGGGACCGGCTGGCCATATGCAGGTCTAGGGCAGGAGCTACAACAGCTTTTGCATCCTACTCTACTCCACTATGGATTCCTGTTTATAGGGGATCACTTCCTCTAAGTGCTGGAATGCGTAAATTGAGGATTGTTCTCACCAACCACAATCCTTGCTCAGTTTGCAGTAGCAGATATCTTAAGTTCTTGTTTGCCTCTGGCTGCCTTGAGTGTCATGCAAAGGCAACTTGAGTGCCATGTTTGGGACACGTGCCATAGGTTGCTGGCCCCTGGTCTCTACAGTTATTTGCAAAAAGGGCCTTTTTTATATATTAAAATTCTACTTATTCAGCATCTCACATTATAGTCACCATTCCTTCCTTGTGTTTTGCTATTTGAACTGAACTACCAGGTAGATTGAAGTGATGTGACTTTCAACACAAGGACCATTAAAGACAAACTGTAGGAGGAAAGCTAACCTGTTTAATGTATTAAAAATGCATAAGAATAACTTTTTTTTTTTTTTTTTTAAAGACCTCTGCAGTTGTGCTGCTACTGTCAGATTCTTCCCTCACGTGGATGAGACACTCCACATGGCAGGTCTCATTCTGGCCTGTGGGCTATGCTCTTCTTCCATAAACTTCTGCTTAATAAGAGGTTATGAGAAAAATAGTTTATCCACAAGAGTAGGTCCATTACTCAAAGAATACAGTGGCTATTATCACTTTACATATAGCTAGGTTCACTGTTCTGCTGTCTCTTCTGATAAATGAGACCTCATCAGAAGTTGTGTGCACTCCAACTGCCTGAGCGACAGCTCTCAGCGGGCCTTAATTCTAAGCTCCTCACAATTATGCATATTTGTGATGGTGCTTACAGTGACCCTTTAATATTTACAAGAATCAGTATGGCTTAAGCTAGGATTTTAAGTAAAACCAAGACAGACCATGTTCTGCACTGGATTTTCTTTCTTTTTTTAACTTCTTATATGAACCTATGGCATAGAAGAAACATTTATTTTCATGCAGAAAGACACCTGCAGGCAGTTGTTTGGCTTAAATTTCACTAGGGAAATTTCCATGCAAAATCTACACAAGCACACTTATTTCATAAACTTAATGTGTGGACTAACAACTCATTTGCATTATGGAACTGAAAGGAGACCAAGTAATCATACACTTACTTTGTGATCACTGGAAGTGACTGTTCCTTTTTAAACTACGTATCTTAACAGGATGTCTCAGTCGTTCTATATTAGTATGTTGTTTGTGTTTTTTAATTTTGTCATTTATTAAATCATATATCTTTTCACAGATTGAAATAGACAATGGCGATGAACTGACATCTGATTTCTTGTACGAGGAAGTTCATCCAAAGCAGCACGCCCACAAACAAAACTTTGCTAAGCCAAAAGGCCCAGCTGGGAAAAGAGGTATACGCCGGCTCATAAGAGGTCCAGCGGAAGGTGAAGGCGCTAAAGACTAGTCTAAAATAAATACGACTAGTACCTGCAAAGCCCTGGGTCATCATGTTTCAACTGGTGGACTGTAACCTTTCCATGCCTGTGTTCTTTGATGCAATAATGGTATTTTGTTCTTACTATGTAACATTCCTTGTAAATGACTCACTTCAAGATCTTTGCGGTATTTAGCGCCCACGCCACTTATACATTCCCTTTCATTTATCTGGATGGATATATTTCCGATGCTGCCCATCTTTTTTTCATCAGGCTGTAAATGCTTTACATTCATATTTCGATGGACCAGTTGTTCGTGAACCAAAGTAATAATGAAACAAAAATATTCTGGTGTGTTTGGTGCAGACCAGCAGCTAGAATCAATGATGACCTTCATTCTCATCACGCCCCCAATGCCCCTATGCAGTCATATGGTTGTATTATAGACTGACACACTAAACTCTGGATTAACAGAAATGTGCATTGATGATAACTGATAAAATCTTGATGGTGCAATCCCACATTTGATAATATCATTTGACAATGTTTGGCCTATATTAATGGTTTACATTGGAATACCAGTATGAATTCAGGGTCTGTATAAGTGGCATTGAGGCATCATCTTTTACAAAACAAATTAGTTACTGACATAAATGCAAAAACAGAGCAAATACTGTATACAATTTATTTCATGTATTTGTAATCTGCTCTAAATTGATTTTATTGCAAATGAATATATTTGTTATATTGCAGAGTAATCTTCATGATATTTACCAAATATTACCATTGAGAGTTTTATCAATTCACACCAGCATTCAAAGTACTTTTTTCCAGTTTCCATCCTGTGTAATATTACCAGCACTCTGCAGATTTGTTTCAATAATGCCTTCTTACATAGGAGAAAAAAATACAGAAAAAACAACTTACTTTTATACAACTTTTTATAGAATACACTATGTTCCAGATTGTGTCTTATGGAACTGCAATACACTTTAGTTATGCACCTTACTTTCAGCACATAGGACTGACTATACAATCCAAAGAGATTATATCTGATATGTAATATCCGATAGTAATATGCAATACTATTCCCTTAATCCTTAAAATGACAGCAATAACAATGCCCATCTTTAAATCCCCTTTGTTTACATTTCTTTGTCGGTATCATTTGGAAATTTGACAAGTCATTTTACAGTGGTTTTACTCTATAGCTGCTTAAATGGAGCAAAAAAAAAAAAAATAAGAAATGAACGTAGAGAATTTTTTATTGTTGACATATTGTGCCTCTCATCTGATAACATAGTACAATTATGTTGGGGGGGAAACACTACATTTTAATAATCATGCACAAATCTAATTTTCTGTGAAACATATGTTGGGGTTTTTACACTAGATTTCTATTGTAGTAGTGTGCTTGAGTTTTTAGTAAGGTTAATGTCTATATCCTAGTAGAATTGCTTGAATATATGCCAGAGTAGAGATAACGTTTTCAGTTGTTGTGTGCATTTAATGACTAGAAGTAGACTCTTAAGAATGATTTGTATAGCTAAAACTATAGGTAGCATAAAATGAAGACTGCTTACGATGCAATGTACAATGAAGAACTTCAAATTAATCAGATTTATTGCACTTCTTTTTCAATGGACGCATCAGAGCCCTGACGCATTGCAGCTGCTGAAGTTAAATTGCCTTACGGTCACATTCTGGTTGTTTAGCAGACAGCTAATGGGGCTTTCTGCCTCACTCGCTTTGCACTGTAGTTGAAAGCCAAAGTGAGTTTTTTCCATAGAAAAGTGCTTTTTCATATGTAAATCATTGTTTGTTTGCACATTGCTACAATTGCTGTGCATGTGTTGTGTCCCAATGCTTCTCTATGAGAAGCATCCAATTGATTGCAAGTGCTCCTTAACAGGAGTTGGATCTGGGCTTAAATGTGGAAACTCTGTCGGCACTGGAATAAAGCTAAGTTTTCATGATTTTTAAGCCATCCAGTGCTGAAAATTGGGCTCAGTAATCTAAACAGTTTAAGGAACACACCAATTTAAAAAATGTATGTATTTTTTTAATTGGAGTGTTCCTTTAAAAATGGGATGTTAAACTGTTTCTCCCAGTATATCTCACTTTGAGAATTGTAGATTTTCTATGCTTAGCAGGCAATTGCTTATTATTGTGATCCAGTGTTTCCAGTGTTCAATGAGGTGCTCTCTGTCCTAGACAATGCCTTGAAACAGTTGAGCCTGTTATACCGTGAGAATCTTAGAACTCAAGATGCTATATTTTAAAAGCATATCTGCAAAACCGATTGTTACTGGTCACCCTTGATCCGGCTAAATCCCCCTCTGAAATGAATATGGGCTAAATTACATTTCCTAGTACACATTTTAGAGTTTCAATGCATGTGAATAGCTATTTTATATATTTTTTTCAAATAATTCACCGCTCAAGTTTTCATTCATTTTGTTTTTTGTTTGTTTTCTTCTTTTTGAACCAATTTAATAATAACTCCATATATTTTGCGCTAACCTAAACAAATGCACTTGCAGTAAAAAAAGGGATAATTAAAATCTGTAGATATTAAAATGTTATGCCTGAATGCTTGGGTTAATACATTGTATACATAACGTTATTTGTTCTTATCATATTGTTACAGAAACATTTTTTGCTTTATTTCTTGGAAGACGTGTCATACTGCAAAGTATTGTATCAGCGAGTTAAAATCAATTGTTTGCTTCAGCCTGCTGCAAAATACAGCTCTGTAGTCGAGAGACATCAAGTATTGATTCACTAAGAATACATTTTGGTGAACTGGAGAAATAAAAATATACAAATTAGTTACTAAATTAGCAGCACTGGAAAAAAATCTGCTTGGCTACTTTTCCAAACCGACTACCCTGCTGTAATTTGTGGAATCCCTTTACCAGTTCACCATATTTATTGGTTTAGTGAATGAATATCAAGGCTTATAATAATACTTGCTTCCCTTTCTATTAGCAGAAATATAAGAAAACTTCTTATTTTTTTGTTAACTTATGTATTTACAAATTGTCATTAGTATTTTTATTCATTTCCTGTAAATGCATTTGAACTCCACTTGTCATTGGTTGTGGGATTTTACTAGTAGATATCTGCTTGCATAAGCAGTTGGACAGGGGTATGCCAAGCCTATCCCTTCTTCAGGATTAGGCGCCCCAGATATTGTGGACTACATCTCTCCTACTTTTTCCCCACCATTATGGGAGATGCAGTCTATAACATGTAGAGTGCCGAAGGTTGCCTACCCCTGCTTATTTAAAAAAAAAAAAAAAAAAAAAATCGTCTGCTGAGAGCTCTGCACTCCTGAAAATTGTCCTTAAACGTTTTTAAATTGTATGTATGTATGGCCCTCCTATAGTACAAAGATATATGTTGGAACTCAGCACCAATCTATTGAATAATACGTGTAGGTTAACAGGACTGTTGCTGAATATTTTTTCTGATCAGGTGTTTTGACTTTGTAAATAGAGTTTACATCTAATACCATTGCAGATTTTTACTGAAAATATCAAAGTATTTTATTAGAAATGACACAAATCAAATTGAAGGTGAAGGTGAATGAATATGATCTAACATTCATAAGAATAGTTTTCTGTAAGTCTTGGAAATAACTCCCTACTGGATTTACTCTATAATAAAGATGTGGTTATGGAATGGACTGATTTTGTAAAGTTATCAAACATTCGGGATAATATCAATAAATATAAAGCATCAGTTTGTTTACACTTTGAAAAGAATGTGCCTAATTTTTCTGCTTGTGACAATTCGTATGAAGAAATGCTGCAGATGTTGAAGAATCTGTAGTTAAAGGGAAACTAACGTGATAATGATAGCTTTGGTAAACTGATAGATCTTGATTAAATAAAAAGGTGACTTCATGTTTTGTTTTTTACCATTTTACTATGTGAAATACGCTGTAAGTAAGTTGTCAGGTGTAGGATATAGTCTTACCATTTATAAACTGTTAAAGAAGAACTGTTATTTCCTCACTTTTAATGCAACAAAATTGTAAACTAAAAGTTAGCTATTGGTTGTGGTTTTATTTATTTATTTTTAGCTCGTTTTTTTTTTTTATATTTTAAGTTACATACTTTGCCGAGCAAAGAATGTAAATTGGCTAAACTCTACCAGTGTCGTATGCACAGTACATGCGTCTGTACAGCACGGCAAGAGAGAGTTAAGTTGCGCATGCTGGATTTGTTAGATGCCCGACAGCAGCCACTAAGTGAGCATGCAGTTTCTCTGATATAAATCAAAAGCTAGACTATATATATTTTTTAAATAAGTATGTACACCTTTCTTGAAACAGACAATTGATCTAGACTGCTATAAAACTTATAAAGTATCGGACACCAACTAAAGGGCTTCTAAATGCATTAAGAAAATCTAACATTTCAATGTCCCTTATAGGCAGAAAAAAAAAATCCACCCATTGCTTAGTGGGATGATTATATAGCATTACCCAAGTGCACCTAAGACACTTGTCTCTTGCTATTCACTGAGAAAAAAAGATTGGTACTAAGGTTTTTTCCCCCCTCTTTCTCTGCTTGGTGAATGGGATATGCTAAGAGACTCCGTGTGTGCATGCACTGCTATAGAAATCCCCAGAAAACTATAGGAATTAGACAGTTCTTATAAACCATCTCCACAAAAGGAGTTTGCCAGAAACTTAGTCTCACTGTCCCAGGGTACTAGACTATTTTCATCTTAAAATTAATGAAGTAAAGGTGCAAGTTGCATCCCCCCCCACCCCCCCTGGCAAGGGCAATTATGTTTACGTGATGCCCTCTTATATAATATTGCATTTTAGGTAGTGTCCCTTTAATAAAGATACACCACTAACTACAACAGCTCAAAAACACAAGTAACTGACTATGTCTTAATTCTCTAAAACAACACTTCTCAGTCTTGACCTCAAATAGTCCCAGAGGTTAGGCTTCGTGGATATTATTACATGAACAAGTAAATTAGTTTAACTGATTGAGCAAGTGATTATCCCGGCTGTGCTCAGACAAGACTATTCTTAAAATCAGCTTTGTTAGGGTATGTGAGGACAGAATTATACAACAATGCATAAGCTTGATTCACGATACACATCAAAAATAAATCCAGGGGCCATCAGTATTGTTCTATAGCTCAGTGAGAAACCTTTTTTCATACATTACTAATGATTGTGTCTAACCTTTTCATCCAGTGGATTGCTAGACATTTTAATGGTATTTGTTTATTGCACACAAGCAGGATCTACAATGCACAGAGGGATAACACCTCACTTGGAATCGCCACTGGAAGAATCAATAAGATCAAAGGTCTTGTGTGCACCTACCTCCTTTTGAATATAAGGTTCCATGAGCAGATCATGTACACTTTTTATATCAAAGTGCCATTTATTATTAAGGTGTGTGCTTTATAAGTAAGTAGAACCTTGGGGTCTATAGAATACTATAGAAATATGTACAGGACAAGTACAGTTATTTGTTAACCTGTTCATTAACAAGACTGTACAAAGGGAAAAAGGTAATCCGTTTAGACTTGAAGGAAGGAGTTTTATCCTACCTGTTTAGGTACACATGGTTTCATGGAAAGGTATATGTTGCTAAACCATGCAGAATATAAGTCTTGGGTGCCAGCGAACAGGAGGCAAAGCCAAAGGATAACGGTGAGTATTTGTAAGTTGTCTATTAATGGAGCACTCTATGCAGCACAATCCTTACAGCATGCTATAGTGGGTATGGTTCCAAGAGCGCTGGTCCTCACACAGTTGGAAGGGATACTGTAGGCACCAAAACAACTTCAGCTTAATGAAGGTTTGGTGTATACATCATGCCCCTGCAGTCAATCTGTTTAATTCTCTGTCATTTAGGAGTTAAATCACTTTGTTTATACAGCCCTAGTCACACCTTCCTGCATGTGACCTACACAGCCTTTGTAAACACTTCTTGAAAAGGAACCTAGAAATTCTAGGTTCTTTTACTGCACAGTCTACCCGTAATCTAGAATTTATGTCCTGCTTTAATAGCCTTCTAGAGCCTCCTGTGTGTGTGAAAAGTTAAATTTAAAGAGCAAGTTATAGCTTATAAAGCAAATTAATATCTGACAACAAAACCTTCCCCCCCCCCCACATCATGCAGGATGTGTGTCACAGCCAGGGCAGGTGTGGCTACGGCTGCATAAAACAGACAAAGTGATTTAACTCCTAAATGGCATGGAATTGGGTCACGAGACTGCAGGGACATGTTCTTTATACTCAAAGTGCTGCATTCAGCTTAAGTTAATTTGATGCCTATAGTATCCCTTTAGGAGTTAAATTGTTTTTTTTAATAGTTTGACACTTACCTGGTTACCCTGGGTGCCAGAGATCAAAACTTATTTACAGATCTTGCTAAAGCAGAATTTCCTAATTCTACTTTAGCCACAGCAATTCTGCATTAGGACAGAATTCACTGTTTGAGATTAATAGCGGTCGCACTCAGCCAATTATTTGGTCCAGAGACACAGACAAATTGCAGAAGTAGGAACTTATGCTTCAGCAATATCTGAGGGGGGCCAAACAGCACATGCACAGGGGTCTATGTAAAGTTTCAAACCATTGGAAAATTGTTTAATTCTTAACACAAGACTCTGGATAGCATAATCACTACAGAGGTTTGTACTGGTTTGGTACTTGGTTTCCTTTTAAAGAGACTAATCTTTAAGTAGTTTCTAACATTATAAGATCTTTCCATTGCATCTGGCAGTCAGCAGAGAGAGAGGAGAAACCAAACAATGTTTGCAGTGCAAGCCAAGACTTGCTGGATTTTGATACAATTTGCTACATGTTTAATATATATTTACACACAAATAGTGCCAGGAGGGTTAAGGAAAAGCGTTAAAGGATCACTATAGGGTCAGGAACGCAACTCTGCATGCTGTTTGACTCGGAAAAACAAGCAGTCTGCTGACATCATCAGAAGTGGTAGCCTTATCCAATCACAGTGCTTCCCCATAGGATTGGCTGAGACTGACAAAGAGGCAGATCAGGGACATAGCTAGCATGTTTCAAACACAGCCCTGGCCAATCAGTATCTCCTCATAGAGATGAATTGAATCAATGAATGAGGAAAGTTCAGTGTCTGCATGCAGAGGGAGGAGACACTGAATGTTTGGATGCATTTTAGGCAGCCATGACCCAGGAAGGATCTCTATGAGCCATCGGAGGAGTGGCCAGTGAAGTTATCACTAGGCTGTAATATAAACACTGCATTTTCTCTGAAAAGACAGTGTTTACAGCAAAAAGCCTGAAGGTAATGATTCTACTAACCAGAACAAATTCAATAAGCTGTAGTTGTTCTGGTGACTATAGTGTCCCTTTAAGACAAGTGGTGAATTTTGAATGTTTTACTCAATGGTGTATTTCCAAAAAAGTGATGTTTCGCTTTAAAGTGATCTTAGACATTACGTATCTCAAGTTATGGATAAGAGAGAAGGCCTTTGCTATAGTGCTACTCTTGATACCGTAGAAGAGGACTTTAGTAATGGAGCTGTCCATGATAGGAGTGCTGACAAAGAAAAAGAACTTAATACATGTTTTTTGGGGCACAGAAAGTCTTCTATGGTTGTTGCTAAAAAAAACTGTAGAAAGAAGGAAGGAAGCGTACTGCTCCATCAACCCTCGTCCATCATAGAAGGTGCTTATTCTGCAACGTGATAGCTAGAAAACCTATTCGTTTTATAGACAAACTGCTCTGAGTTGTGTTGAACTTTCTGTGATCTAGTGCACTAAAAAAAGTTTAAATATAACTAAAAACATTATCTACATAGCAGGAATTGTAGTATAAAGACCTCAAATTATATTAATTAAAAATAAAATTATATATATTAGTTAATGTAATTTTATACATTTAGCTTACCAGGTATTACGAGATTGCTAAATTTCCAGTACAGTTTAACACAGTGATCTTGCTCTTAGATAAAAAATATCAACTATAGACAATGCCATTCCTTTATCCACTTTATTCTTTACAATACTGTATGTATCAAATGCTATATTATGTTTCAAGGGAGTAAAAAAGAAAAGAAAATAGACTATTCTTTTCATACAATAGTTTAAGAGAAGGTAGCCCCACAATTGTACAATATAATCGAATGGGATCAGATAAGGGGATAACAGAAATAAACAGGAAATCTGTCCCAATATATGAGGAATCGAAAAATATTGAATAAATAATTTTATTTTTTTTATTCAATATTTTTCGATTCCTCATATATTGGGACAGATTTCCTGTTTATTTCTTTCTTTTCATACAAGCCACAGATGTGAAATTGTATAGGTGATATAAAAAAAAGTGCTAGGTTTTAGAAGAAAAAAAACAACAATTCCAAACAGTCATATTAGAAAAATATCTATACAAATCATAACTAAGATCTTTAAAGAATTTAAGTACACGAAAGAGTGTTCACTATACATTTCAAGTCGTGCAGCACCTGTGAAAAGAAATTGAAAGATTTCAATGAGTAGTACCATTAATAAGGTTTTAATACACTACAGCCATCATTCCTGGCCAAGCTTCATTTGAGACAGTGACATTAATATAGATTACTGATCACATGGTTTGTCGTCTCCAATATTGGACTACAGCAGCCAGCTTTAGGATGTGGATACAGATTATTGGTCACATGATTAGCCTAAACTCCAACGTTGGACTTTTGGACAACGTTTAAGGATGCCGACACGGACAAATTGACACATGGTTTGAATACTTTCAGATGTCGGGCTACTGAAGGCAGGTTGAGGAAATAAATATAGACTACTGGGGACATAACTAGTCTATAGTCTCTGAAGATGTACTACTGGATTATTAAACAGATTGCTGGTCTGATATTGTTGAGGCCACTGATACGGAGTATAAGATATATAGCTGGGCCAATATATAGCTATTGATTTTTTTTTTTCTCTCACAGCTCAGTCTCTCAATATATTACTGGATAGATGGACTGATGACCAGGTTATAATATAATATAACTTGCAGAATGTAAGCCATCTCCTATTTCCATTCTAATAACAATAACCCTCTGAGTAGAGATCTCCAACATTCTTTAACATATTTATATACTCAACACATCACAAAGCACAAGATTCTAAATAAATAAATTTATATGATGTATAAAAAAAAACAACAAAAAAAACATTTACCGTGCTAATATCTGGCCTTTTGTTTTTCATTTGGTGTAGGCAATGACTTGCTGTTTTGTACATTTTTTCTAACGAAGTGGATTCCACATCTTCTAACTTTGTGTCAATATATTCCTCCAAGGTCTTTTCCTCTTCTTCAATTTCTTCTTTAATGTCAAGCTAGGAAACACAAAGTACAACACTTGAGATTAATATACATACCATTTAATAGGTATGTGTCTAGCTGAGTTATATTTGGGAAATAACTGGCTCTGATTTGCTTGCTAATTGAAGTAGTAGCATGTGAGAGGTCCCACCCTGCAGCAATGAAGGGATGAAATATATGAGCGAAAATACAAGGGACTTAGGAGTGGGTACAAACGGTTCACACAGATTAGGTAGATTGGGTAGATATTCAATGGGTAGCTATTGATGTAGTTTAAAAATTTACAAAATGCTGAGTGCAGTTAATTAAACCATTAAGTATCTTTCTCAAAATGCAATTCTTCTGACTGCAATGCACAAACAGACATAATAATGAGGCAGAGGAGGGGGTGAGGCCTGACCATCATGTCTGCCGGACGCACATTGCAAGAGCTCCTAGCCTGACACAGGAGTTTCTTGAGCAAACTGACTCCCAACACCCCAATCTACCTAATCTGGGGACTGATTATCCCCCAAACTACCCTGGGAGTCTGACAGCTTCCACAGAGCGCCAAAATCCCATTTTAGCTTTAACCCCTTAAGGACCAAACTTCTGGAATAAAAGGGAATCATGACATGTCACACATGTCATGTGTCCTTAAGGGGTTAAATATAGTTTGAGTGTTCTATATCTGTAGGGGAGTGCATCCTGTTCTATATTCTATATAAGAGTATGACTAATCTCTTGGTTTGGTACCCATCTTTGCCTCATTGCATGGACCTATTTAAACCTTGCACCAAGAGTGAGTGTACTGTATTTTGTATGAATGTATATATATTTTACCAGTAATGGTGGGTTTCGTTCTTCGTCCACTGGTGGGAGTCCAGAGATTATTTCTAGCAATACCTATAAAATGATAAAAACAGAGTTTTAAAAAGCCACTGTTTCTTAAATTAAACACTGATTAAGTGTCAAAGAGTTAGCAGTACACTTATGCAGTCCTATTTTGGACCTTTGTTCTACAGCTAACACTCTTCTGCAACTCAGAAAGCTATATGTCACATGTTCACAGACAATTTCAAGCAGTGTACTCTCACACATAGAACCATAAATGTCATAAATACAATGTATTCCTTTTACTCACCACTCCAAAGCTGAAAATGTCAGACTTTATTGTGACCTCTCCACGTAGTGCTTCAGGGGCCATGTAAGCCGTAGTACCAACAATTCTTTCTGTCATCATAGTCTTTGCATATTGGCCAGTGGCCCGTGCAAGTCCAAAGTCAGATATTTTGGATACAAAAGCATCATCTAACAGAATATTTGCACTGGGATAACATAAGCAAATATATATTAAATAAAACCATAGCATAATCACGTGCTTTCACTTTTATAATCCACTTTTGTCCAGGACCACCATTCTCCCACCAACAAACAAACTATTTTCTCTTCAGGGGATAATTTCTGTACCGGTACATATTTAAAAAAAATTTTTAAAAATGAAAGATATAAAAAAATAGCTGAAAATCTAAATCTATGTAATGATGTTAAAATGCGTGTTTGATATATGATATAATTTTATATGACACAAAATACATTTCACAGATTTTATTACAAAGTTACTATTAATGGAGAAAAAAATAAGCACAAAGTTTCTGAGCTTCAATTTCTACTTTCAATTTTTCCGAAGCTATATCTTATTCATTTAGACTCCCCACCCCCCAGTTTTTTGCATTACAAGATCTTTCCATAAGTCCAAGGTATGGATTTTGGAAGAGATCAGCTGCTTAAGGTATCCTTTAAGAATTATCGAATGTTCTCTCTACTTCTAGGAAGCAATAGTACAAGTTTACTTACCTTTTAATATCCCTGTGGACTTGGCCGTTATCATGTAAGTATTTTAAACCAGTCGCGGTTCCAAGTGCAATATTACATCTCATGTGCCATGACAATGGGGGGGTGTCATTCTGAAATTGAGAGTCAAATATAATAAAAAAATAATAAACTGCTCATCCTGTCTTCATTTTTTCTGATGTATCCAGTTCTTATTTGTTCATAAACTGTTGAGATTCAATACCAAAGGCTCTAAGAGGGGACAGTTACAAGACAATTTAACCCTCCACTTTGCATAGATATATGCACACTGTAGACTGCGGCCAAGTTGGACATGGCACTGGAAATCCGTGTGAGGCCTGTGAGAGTTGTATGCACAAGTTTTTCGAGTGTACCGTCATTACGTTAGTGATGTCATTGCCCCGCCTCTCCTGGAAGTGTTCCTGCAGCTCGGACCGCACGATATGGCCATGTAGACTGGCAACCAATGCAAAAAGCTGTTGGGGTCATACAGCAAGTAGAGGTTGTGGAGGTGATTTTTTTTTTGTGAATGATTTTTATTCATTTTGCATATATTAATGTTCGATGAGACGCGCAGGTCTCCATTGTATGTTATGATAAAAGGTAACAAGTCGGCTCGCAGGCCCCATCGTAGAAGGACTCGCAGGTCCCCATTTTCTGGTATTACATTTGTTTGGGAATATAAGTTAAGTAACGTTTTCATAAACTGAGTGGTGGAGGTGATTTTTAACTGCAGTAAAGCAGTGTTTCTATTATGCTTCTGATTTGGTAAAGAATAAAGGATTTTTAAGATTGATGGGTCTGGTTGCTCTGTCCAATCGATATTGGGTCCACCGGTTTGCTTGCATTATATTGAAGGTGGAGAAAAGTGCTTCTGGCTTGTGAGTTGCATTACACCTGCACTTATAAATTATTGTATTCTACAGTACTACTCTATATGTGTTTTATTTTTTATTGTTTTTCATGTGCATACCGATATTGATTGTGTTACTACTGCATTCACTATGTATGCGAGTAAAGTGTGATCCACTTTACACAAAAATTGCACTTTTGTATACATTTTGTTGTATAACAATTGTCACAATTGCACAGCACAAGTGGCACTTTATAATAATCATTATAGCACTATTAGAGTGAATTAATTCACTATTTCAGGTTTAAAGATATAGCGCACCTTTTTTTGTTAAGGTGTTTTTTGAGTTATTACACTTATAAGGCGCAGCTTTTAGTAGCATTAATAGTTTTTTATATATAATTTTTTTTAGCGCTATCCTTTTTACTTTTCTTTTTCTGTAGCATCACTTAAAATGCTGCATTATACAGCCCACTGAAGTGATACTAGCTATCAGTTTCGAAGCAAATCCACTGCTTAACATAATTTTTTTTTTTTTTAAAGCTACGAAAACTAAAATTTAAATATTTTTTTTTTACTAAACGGGTACAATCTTTTTTAAAGGATCAGTAAAGTGAGTCATAATTAACCACTACCAAACCTTTTATGTCAAATAAATATGAAATAAAAATTACAAAGGATGTGGAGAAAACAGGAATAGTAAAACTGCCGAATATTTTAATCTTCTGAGCAATTCTGATAGACTCTTCCTACAGATAGTTTTGTCCACTATTCTCTACTGATTTCAGAGTTTGGGAACCAGTACACACATGCTTTTCTCTATACAATCCAGCCAGTTGCTGGATTTATCAAAATCACCATTTTGCACTTTACAGGATTATTCAGTAAAGTGTGAATTTAACGTGAATTCAAAGTGAATTTCATATTTAAGATCAGATCGACTAAGCTTTCAGGTCAGCTACTCTGGACTTAAATTTAAAATCCGATTTGAATTAACTTTGAATTCCCACTTTAGCGAATAATCCTGTAAAGTGGGAAATTCTAGTTAATTCAAAGTGAGTTTAAAATTTAAGGCTAAAATAGCCCAACTGAATATAGAATTCAGCTATTTAGCCCACAATATGAAAAATTCACTTTGAATTCCCAGCAATTCTTACTTTAGTAAATAATCTGCAGCATGACACCCTTTAGAAATAATTTATTTCCAAAAATACAAATAACAGAGTCGCTTCCCTTTTAAAATAAATAAATAAACTTCATAGATTAGTCAAATGTGAATCAACATGCAAACAAACGGTAAGAATTCACTCACACTTACCAAGCAAGCTAAACGATCCAGTAATGAACCGTTTGGCATATATGTATAAACCAGACAGTAATGACCGCCATCATTGGAATATCCCAGTAGCTGTAGAATGTTTTCATGCTGGCATCTAATAAAATCAAATAACAAATCATGTAATAACCTGCAGGCCGTCATTGAAAACAATAAAATCTTGCCAGTGAACAGAAACGTAAGGTGGTTCTGCAGTGGTAGAAATCCGACTTTTGAAAATATATAATTAAGGAAGATATGGGGGTTCTTTTAAATAAACAAGAGGAGATGGAAATATGTAACTGAGGAGGAAAGATTCCCTCGCTATTGCTTTTAACTTGTATTGATGGGCTCTGAGTAGAGGAAAGGGGTTAAAACTTACCTTTCTCCAGCGCCAGGCGGGGAGCTCTCCGCCTCCGATCCTCCTCCTCCTCTCCTCCCTTTCGGCTGGCTGCGCGTGCATTCAGCCGGTCTCATAGGAAAGCATTCATAATGCTTTCCTATGGACGCTAGCGTCTTCTCACTGTGATTTTCACAGTGAGAATCACGCAAGCACCTCTAGCGGCTGTCAATGAGACAGCCACTAGAGGCTTTAGAGGCTGGATGTACCCATTTATGAACATAGCAGTTTCTCTGAAACTGCTATGTTTATAAAAAAAAATATGTGTTAACCCTAGCTGGACCTGGCACCCAAACCACTTCATTAAGTTGAAGTGGTCTGGGTGCCTAGAGTGGTCCTCATTATAAGAACATCTACTGCAGATTATCGCAGAGTGCCCCCATTTAGAAATACCTTGGTCAGACTATATCACTTGGTCAGACTATATCTAAATTAGCGTATAACATTTTCCCTTTGCATTGATTTTATGAGAAATATTACTGTAGAACATAAACACTTGAAATATAATTACTACAGAGATATTTAGCATTTTACTTACAATACTGAGCTTTAATACTTACTTTGCCATTGTTTTTATTTCTTGATCAAATTGACCTTCTAGTTCCTGGATACTGGCTTCAAGCAGCTTTTGTAAAAACAAAGACACAACACAAGTTACAGTTCTTTAATGATGCCATTTAGAACATAAAAAATTACTTATTAAAAAGGAAAGTTTGAATATTTTTACAGGGGCAAGTGAAAACATAAAAATATCACGTACTCTTCAAATAGGTTATGGTCTAAGTAGGTACCCTGTCACTACTTCCTAAAGAGAGCAGCAATTTGAAGACGGAAAGAAACAGTAAATCACTGCAGCTATAACACCACCACTTACTCAAATGCCCCACGGACAGACTGTATGCTTCGAACATTGGTTAGTTCTATAACAATTATTGGACACTTACAGCGGTTAGTTTTTTTACAGCAACCATTTTGCCATTTAGATTCCCCTGGAAAACAACTCCAAAACCTCCTTCTCCTAATTTGTTTCCTCCTTCGGCAACAGGTCGATCGTCAAAATTGTTGGTGATTCTCTGCAGCTCAGTTAACGAAACACTGCCATAACCTGTGACTTAAAACAAAATATATATCATTTTAGAAAAGAGACTGTATATGGGAAACTTAATGTACAGCAAAGTATGACACTTATTTATAAAAAAAAAATTAATCTGATGATTGTAAAATGCTCAGAATTCATTTTAGATCTTGCTTGCATGAATGTTCCAGACCATGGAACATATAACATGCTTCACTTTAACATCGAAGACTTCTAGTTACCCCTAGTTGGTGCAATCAGGACAAATCATACTACTGTCATGCCATCTTGAAATATTGTAATTGTAATAACACCAGCAACTGAATTAAACAATAGAGTCTACTGAGATTATGGAGAAGGATGGTGAAATAAAAAGTAAATGCAACAGTACGAAACCAGTACGACGCTTCCACAATGTAAAATACAGATTTTTACAAAATAAATGATACATCTGTATCAATGAACAAAGAATAAATAAGGTCTCTTCTGGGTGCTTATCTCTACACCCCTCAAGGTAAATATAACGGATGGTATGACAGCACAAGGGGGCGAAAAAAAGAAAGCAATGCATGATGAAAAGAGTTGGACGTGTTTTGCATCTCTGCTGGACGCTTTCTCAACAATTACCAACAGCTGTTGAAAAAGCGTCAAGCTTTTTTCGATATGTGCTTCTTTTCTCCCACCATAGTGTGGATATGTGGATATATTTTTGGTCTGCCTATCTTTGTGGATTCATTTTTTGTAACACTTTAAAAAGAGGTCTATTATACTTTAAACTACTCATCCTCAGTCTCTTCACTGGATTTCAAACAAAAACAAAATTATACAACCAATTATAGAATACAAGTTAGCTGTCACAAAAGTAAAAAAAAAATATATAATAGAATATAAATATTAATATAGAGAGCAAAAAAACGGGGCGCAGAATGATAGAAAGACGGATGGAGATAATAAAAATGAAAGCAAATCCAGATCTCAGATCCCAGTATCCCTTATGCTGTCACTGAATCCACAAGATAAAGAGATCTCAGACTACTTAACCATCTTCTTGGAACAGAAACAAACATTTATTACAGAATAGAACCATGCATCTTGCCCTTCGCATGATATATATTAGGAAATAAACACAGCTTCATTGTAAAAATCTAATTTGTTAATAGATCAATACCGTTATCATCATTTTGTTTTGGATGTGTGCTTTCGCAGACAGGTGATACATGTTCCTTCTTAAGCTGAGGTTCTGAATATGGTTCTGCATTTTCCTCCTTAATCTGAGGTTCTGAATATGGTTCTGTATGTTGCTTCTTAATCTGAGGTTCTGAATATGGTTCTGTACTTTTAGCCCCTATTGGCAGTGTGGAATTAGAATAGGAAGGGCTAGTGATTAGATCTGTGAGTGAGAAAAAGGGCAATGTTGAACAAAACAAATTTAAATAGAAGAGAAAGCATGACAAACAGCTGATTTAAGTAAATCTTGTGGATTAGAATAATCTATAAAGAAAATAAAAATATAAAGCTAAGTGAAGGACAGTCTAATCTAAGCACCACAACCACCACATGTGGATACACTTCTATTAAGCTGTGGCTGTCGGCACCTAATTCTGGGTCAAAATATTTTTGAATGGTTTAACCAAAACTGAGGTTTACTAATGCACCTGCAGCCTAAACCCTGCTCATAAGCTGAAGAGCTAAGACCATCAATGCCATCCAAATATGGATGAAATGGACATTGCTAATGCATAGGTGTCAAATAATTTAAGTTACCAGTAGCAGTGGATTATATGATTTTTCCATTTAAAAGTAAAAAAAGAAATAAAAGATTTACTTTTAATTGCCATCATAAAAAGAGTCTAATACATGGTTGGCATATCCCACAGCTTGTAATTGGTTATCTAACCTAGAACTCTATGGATGCATCTCGATTCTAGAGCCTATAACAATATCAAACTGATGCTATTGGAGCTGAGGTAGTTTTTTTAAAATTATACATACCTTTTCTAACCTCTTGTCTAGAGGATCTGTGCTTGCACCTGACTATATAAATTTAACAACGAATTCAGGAATACCTGGTAGAAGTAATGCAGCGGCAGCCAAAAAATGATGCTTTACTAGCAAGTCAGTAAGTTCTCCCACGGTACAGTTTGTCGTACCCCAGTCACATAGCAATTCACAAGTAGGGCTTTTTCCCTTTTGTATGATTCCTTCAAATCTCCTAGCAAGAAAAAAAAAAAAAAGGAAAAATGCCATGCAAGTTTTTAAATGAAAATAAATGGCTTGTGTTGCAAACTACACATAGCATAATGCACTTTGGATGCGAAGAAATCAGCACTTAGCAATAGCCTAAACTAAATGTATATATGGCAATCATACATTTATACATATACACAAACACGCTAAATAGCAAAGATATATGTGTGTATACACCAAACCTTTAACTGACACCTTGAAAACTACTAAAAGGAGTAGAAATCCAGATGAGAAAACTGAAATTTTACTCGCCATGAATAATTTTTTCCTTAATATGGTGGCAGTACGATAGGGATGTACTCTTACCATAGGACAAGCATCTGAAATTAAAAAAATTACATAAAAGTTCCTCCCCCCAATAGGTATAAGACACCAAACTGCCATGGACCCTCCATACGTCCCAATAAAACCTCAGAGACCTACTACTGCAAAAATATCTCATTTATTAATAAAGGGAGGGAGTGATGTACTGCCACCATATTAAGAAAAAGGAATTTACGGTGAGTAAAATTGCATTTTTTCCTGACGTATGCTGGCAGTACAATAGGGATACATCGAGATCCCAGAGCTATGGGCAGGAATTAAGCAACCACCGCTTGTAACACCTTATGGCCGAAAGCAGCGTCAGAGGCAGAGAATACGTCTAATGCAAACAAAGCAAACTAACAACACAATGTGAATGTAGTGATTAACAAAGTATATAATATACTTATCTATTGAATCAAAAGGGACAGCCCCCCAAAGATCACGTCCCAGGAGATGATCTTATATTAACCAATGTACAAACAAGAAAAACATATGGGATACCGCTGTTAAATCTAAAAAAAGAACATAAACAAAATATAGTGTAATACAATTTTAAATTAGAAGTGTGCGCTGTAAATTAATGCACTCACAAGATGAAGATATCCCAAACACCTAACAAGGAAAGATCACATCTACATCAACCTAGAAGGTTGTCCCCAGAAAGAGAGAGGGAAACTAGTTCTTATGTCCAAGTCGTTAGAAACAAACCTGACATTAATGGAGTCAATACTCAGTATAATGATAAGGAGACAAATTTTCAAGGGAGACCCAGAGGACCAAAATAAAATGTTATCACCAACTACTTCCATCCCATACATGGGAACATCCCACCCGGTTTTCCCTTTTACATCAGGGCTCCCCTCAGAAAATGATACGGGTGGAGGATTAAGAGAAAACCCTCCAATACAACATACTTTGAGAAAAAAGAAAGAGAAGGGCATTTTTTATTTAACGGGGATAACATTAACAGAAGAAGAAATCAATTTATTGTCAAAAGGCATGAAATTTCCCCTGAACAAAATGGCTAATGATTTCAATCTTTTTATAGATTAAAAAAAAAATATTAGGTCTATGACCATTAAAAGGCATTTCCTCTTACATCCCTCCTCACCAAAAGTTGACACCATGGATGATGGTGAACGATTAAGTAAAAAATGTAAGCCTAAATCACATTTCTTTCCTATTCAAAGCAAAGGCCCCCTACTTGTAAATATTTGAACGTATAGTGGATCAAGAGTTTCAAACCCTTACCAAAAGCAATAAAATACAACGTAATTTTAATCTCAGTAAAAAAGAAGAACCACGTCTAAAGAACTTAATGGAAAGGGCAGACATAGTGATTAAGGAGGCGGACAAGGTGGGAGGTATAGTATTAATGACAATTGAATATTATTTACAGGAATCCTTGAATATTTTAGGAGATAAAAAAACCTATACCATTCTTAAAAATGATTCCACTATTCAATTCAATTCTGAACTGAAATGTATATTGGAAAACGCTAAGAATAATAAAGAAGTAATTTCACAAAATTGTTTTCATTATTTATTACAAAAAAATCCAATTATTCCCATTTTTTACCGAAAACCTGACCTTAAAACTTTCTAAAGAAATTTACAAAAAGATGGTCAGTCTTCCTGTAAGCAGAGGAGCGGTTTAGGTAGATTTTCAGAGATCTTGAGACATCCAACTTGTGCCAATTTTCATCCAGATCGGAGACAGGTGGACAACTAAAGGAAGGCAGAAAATTGGTTGAGTGATAGCCCTGAATGAGATGACTTGAAGGTTTGAATGAAGGTTTCAGATACAACACAACCTTGTCTGGAAGAATCTTCGTAAAATCAGCAGACGATGAAAGGGCCTGAGTTTCACCTACCCTCTTAGAAGAAGTTATGGCCACCAAAAAAGTGTTTGGAACAAAGAGACTTCAAAACCAAAGACAGGTCCCAGGAGGGAAAAAAAACAAACACTTTTCTTGGAGGTTTCGTAATTCTGACAGCCTTCAAAAATCTACTAACAAGAGGATCCGAAGCTCTGAACCAAATAAGGGCGCAGAAACTTGAACTTTGAAGGTAGATAAACTAAGACCCAATTAAATTAAAGGCCGTCTTGTAGAAAATGCACGATTATATCAGTAGAAGGAGAAGCTCTTAGGCAATGGCGAGATAAGGAATTTCGTCCAAATTTTCAAATGTATAGCAGAGGTAGATCTCATAAGAATCTTTAATCTGTTATGCAGGATTAGCCGTGCAGCAGCCAAACCGTCAATTTGAACATTGTCAATACCTCCACTGGAATCCCTTTGTTCTCCAGGAGCTCTGTTGAAACTGGAAGTTCCCAGTAGAGATGTCGTGAACCGTTTGCGAACTTCCCGCTGCCTTCAACATGGATGCTGTCCAGGAGGTGGGAGGGTCTGCTGGAGATTGGCCGGGATGTGTCAGCTGACCGGAGCTCGCGAACGGTTCGTGGCGAACCGCGGCGAGCCGTTCGCGGGAAGTTTGCAACATCACTAGTTCCCAGTACTTCAAAACCATCGACATTAAAACCGAGAACCAGCTCTGATTTGGCCAGTATGGGAATATGGCCAGTATCATAGAGTGTTCTGTTTTTACCTTCTGCAAAATTCTTGGAATTAGGCTCACCGGGGGAAATATGTATGCAAGGCTAAAGTCCCACTTGATTGACAGCCCATCCAGAACCAGAGGCATGTCTGCCTTGAAGAGGGAGTCAAATGTTTGCACCTTTGTATTCGACCTTCTCACCATTAGATCTATGACAAGCAGGCCGAAGATCTTTACCAGCTGATAAAAAATGACCAGATTTAGAGACCACTCATGCTGGGTCCATCTTGATCTGCTTAAGTCATCCGCTATAATGTTGTCTATTCCTCTTATATGAATAGCTGATTGTTCTTCTAGATGATTTTGAGCCCAGGACATAATCCGTGTGCAAAGGGTGTGCAATTTTCTTACCCTTGTTCATTCAGGTAAGCTACCATTGTCTGGTTGTCTGACTGAATTCTTACCGCTGAGGTCTGAACTGATGAAGAGCATATAAAACGGTTAACAATTCCTTGTAATTTGAGGATTCCCTTTTTTTTTTTTAATCTTTGGACCATATGCCTTAAGTGATACTGCAGGTGTGCACCCCAACCTGTATTCGAAGAGTCTGTGGTGATTATGACCCATTGTTTTGGCCGAAATGATAGACCTTCTGAAATGAAACCGGTCTTTTGCCACCAATCTAGTTGTCTTCTTACAGGATCTGAAATGCTTATCCAAGAATCCAAATTTTCCTCTTTCTTTGACTACTTTGTCAGGATTTCCCACTGCAAAGGCCTTGATGCTGCTTTGGCCCATTTTACTGCTGGAATAGTGGAAGTGACGTGTCCCAACACCTGCATAGCCTTTCTCACAGAGCATTCTGGTACTCTCTGAAGTTCTTTTGTCAGCTGCTTTATCTGTCTGCTTTTTCCCCGCAGTCAGGTGAATAGCAAGAGTGTCTGACTTGATTAAAAAAAACCTAGAAACTGAATTGACCTTGTAGGGTGCAGATGAGATTTTTCTAGGTTTATAACCCAACCATATTCTTGTAGGATTTTGAGGGTGTAAGCCACATCCATCTCTAGAGCGTCTCTTGAATTTGCTTTCATGAACCAGTCGTCCAAGTACTGTAATACCTTTTACCCTTAAGAATTCTGTGATAGGCGTGAGAACCTTCGTAAAAATCCTGGGAGCGGAGGCAAGACCGAAGGGAAGGGCTTTTAATTGGAAGTGATGAACCTTGTGCCCCTTTCTTATGGCAAATCCAGGAACTTTCTTGAGCCAACATCCATAGGATTGTGTAGATCTTTTAAACCCAAACTTGCCATAAAATCTCCTTTTTAAAGGAGATGAGTGACTGAAGCGATGGTCTCCATTCTGAAATGCTGGTATGGAATATTGTTTAATTCTTTCAGATCCAAAATGGGATGAAAGGACATATCCAGTCTTGGGACTAGGAACAACTGAGAGTAGACACCTTTATATAACTGGTCTTTTGGAACTCTTTCTAGAACACCTTTTTTTAAAAGAGTAACCGTAGCGGAGAAAAGAGCTTGATTTTTTTAGCTTTGAACGGTATGAGGAGACAAGGACATTTGGTCTTGGTACATCTAAGAACTTTATTTTGTATCCTCTTGCAACCAGATTCAAAATCCATGGATTTGCAGTGGTCTCTCTCCAGCTGTGAGCAAATTATTGTATCCGTCCACCAACTCTTATGGCGTCAGAACCTTTTTGCCCAGTCAGTCTTGATGTCTTTATGTGCGTCAAACCATGGATCTTTCCTTTGTTGACGAAAAAAAACCTGGGTTTTTCTTGATACCCCCTGCGGTTCTTGTATTGGAAGTTTTTGTACCCTGGCTTCTAGGAATACTTCCTGTCCTGAAGAAGCATTTTTTTTTGTTTCTGACATCTGTTGCATTAATTCTTCTAAATGAGACCCAAATAATTTCTTCCTCTCCAAAGGAAGTTCACAAAGTGTAGACTTTGAGGCCCACTCTGGGCTTTCTTCGGGATAATAATTGTATTTTCCCGATCCTGAAGAAAGCCCAGAGTGGGGCTGAAACGTTGATCGTTCTTTTAATGCATATCTAATAAAGCAATTTGGATTTTAAAAGAAGACCGTGGAGTGCAGCCATCATTTTTTGACAATGTATGTGATCCAGCCAGCTGGCTTACTAAGGACAGCGTGAGTGCAAGGAACCTTTTTGTATTTTATATTATATATAAAAATACTTCTGCTTTGCCAATAGGCATGCCGGGTGCCAGTCCTATTAGGGATGTTACTGTAGATAAGTGGAAAATGCAGGCTGCACTCACGGACTTTTGAATTTAATAGTATTTATTTCATCAAACAAGTAGAAAAAAAAAAAAAGACGTTTCGGTCCGCACAGGGACCTCCTCAGGATCAAGTGATATCACTTGATCCTGAGGAAGGTCCCTGTGCGGACCGAAACGTCTATTTTTTATTTTGCAGCCTATATATATATATATATATATATATATATATATATATATATATATATATATATATATATATATATATATATATATATATCTCAACAAAAAAGAAATAAATACACACACACACACACACACACACACACACACACATAAAAAATTATTTTTTGTTGACGCCCATGCTTTAAGCCAAAGTGCCCTGCAGGCCACAGATGTCAGGCCCATGACCTGAATTGTGGAACAGATAAGCAAGATCTTTGTCTTGGTTTTCTGCCAGGCTGAATCCAATAAGACTGCGCTTTAGCCACTGAAGCTCCTGACATGCTTGTATGCTGGACGTATCAGCCCTCTTATCCATAGGGTCTTTAAGTCCAGAAACTTCTCCAATCGGTATAATAGTCTTTTTAGATAACTGAGAAACTTGTACATGAATGACTGGCAAGTCTTCCCACTTGTGCTGGTTAATGATGTTCTTGAAGTGCCTGGAAATAAATGCCCTTTTTTCAGTGTTTTTCCACTCTGTGAACATAAGTTCCAGAAGTCTTTTTTTACTAGCTCTGATCTGATGACTCTTCAGAGAAGGCAACATTAACTTCCTTAATAAACTTTCTCAATTCTCCATGATGGAAACCGAATTCAGTCACAGAAGAATCGCTGAAATGTCCGAATAGGAAGACATAGAACATTCGCCCGAGGACAATTATGAATTAGAAGATCTCTTCCGCTTTTGCCTCTGTTTGGCTGTAGCTTTAATGGGTGCTGTAACATTAGACTTTGCAAAATCTTTGAATGACTCAAATGTCTGGGCCAGATTGTCTTGAAACCAAGACAAGAATGACTTCATGTCCTGTTGCTTGGACTTTTCCAGCAATAAGGATGAACACTGATTGCAGATTTTCCCTTTAGTACCATCTAGTAGTGGTGTGTAGCATTTGTTACAACTCAGATGTTAAAATTTATAACCGGCTTATAACAGGCACCTTGTCTTTATCCATAATATCTGGAGAGATAGGACTAGACATATTTGCAAAACATAAAGCAATAATAATATTGTTTGTAAAAGTAAGAAGATTAAGATAGACACAGAGATCTTAAAGATTAGAGACTGAAATATCTCACCTCTAAAACCTCTGACCCGTATGGGGGGGGGTGATGACACGGGAGATTCTTCCTGGCAAGCATCCATGCGGTCATCAGGATCTGCACAGCATAAATAGACAGCAAACCTTCAAATTTCCCACCATTTCTGGGAATTCCGACCATGCATGCGCAGTAGCGCGGTCGAGCGCCAGTGGAACGCATTACCTCCGATGTGCGCATGCGTCTTGCTCGGGCAGTGATTTCCAGCCGCTAGAGACCTCCTACTTTCTCAACCGGTGTCCGCACTCGGCATAAAGCAAGTTAAACATACCTGCAGGATGCACGCAGGCCACTCAGTTCTCCACCCGGGAGGCTGTCAGGCCAGATCCCCCTGGCAGCAACCCATATGCCTCACCACAACAAACTCCAGATGCTGTCCGTTCCTGATGGAACTAGAAAGAGAACGGAAGGTCCATGGCAGGTTGGTGTCATATCTCTTGGGGGAGGAACTTTTATGTTAATTATTTTAATTGCAGACGCTTGTCCCATGGGAAAAGTACATCCCTTTTGTACTACCACCATATGTCAAGAAAACATTTGTATATCTTTCTGTCCACAATGAAGATATTTAAATGGTCAACAAGAATCGTTTTGCAATTAGCTCTCAATTCATAGTAAAACCTGAAAAAACAAAAAACAAAAAAAAGAACCAGGCCAATGAGGGGATTGAGGTGGGTTTTTTTTAATGCCAATGTTGCACAGAGGGAGATGGTAGGGGGCACACACAGGGAGGGAGGGGAGAGGCAGCTTCCCTTTGCAGGCACTCTGAATTCCCTGCAAAGGGAACATTTTAACGTCTGTTGTCAGCGTGCATTGCACATTGACAACAGACATAATTTATGAGCAGAATTGACATTAGGCAGCCATGAACATAGTTCATGGGAAGCAACTATACCTCAGAACACAATTAAAAATATATCAGTATGTGCAGTGTTTCAAACACTGCACATACTGGCTTCTACCACCATGACCACTTCAAATCACTGAAATGGTCATGATGGTTGGAATAACCCTTTAAATAAGACATATATTTGAATACCTTATATGAAACTGTGTGTATCTAGGTTCACCAGAAGGTTTCCATATGTCGGTAGCTATTGTTTTCCATCCGTCTTGAGGGTCCATAAAATCTGCCAGCTGTCTTATCAATCCAAGGCTAAGATTTCGAACATAAGTTGACGTTGTAACAGCTTTGCTCATCTCTCAATCCTGACTTGACACAAAAAAACAGCTCTTTAAAATAATTCACTATTCAAGGTTAGAACAGAATGACTCAGGTAAATAGGTAAACTGCTAGTAAATGGTATAAACATATTTGTCCGTATACTCGATTAAAGCTCAAAATCAATTTTCTTCTATACACTATTAGCCTGGAATAAAAATGGGGATTCTGATACTTATTAGACTTAAGAAAAGATGGCGAATAAAATATATGGCAAACCTAACCCTACGTAACAGCAAATAAGTGAAGTGTCACCAGAAGACTATTTGAGATCCATTATGAACTGGGGTCCCAGCTATCCCTGACCCACACTGTGTACAGTCACTTACCAGCTGTACCCCTGCCAGTCACAATAAGGGTAGGTAGACTGACAGTCACTTACCAGCTGTACCACTGGCAGACACAGTGAGGGTGAGGGTAGGTACACTGACAGTCACTTACCAGCTGTACCCCTGGCAGTCACAGTGAGGGTAGTCACTTACCAGCTGTACCCCTGGCAGACACAGTGAGGGTAGGTAGACTGACAGTCACTTACCAGCTGTACCCCTGGCAGACACAGTGAGGGTGAGGGTAGGTACACTGACAGTCACTTACCAGCTATACCCCTGGCAGACACAGTGAGGGTAGGTACACTGACAGTCACTTACCAGCTGTACCCCTGGCAGACACAGTGAGGGTGAGGGTAGGTACACTGACAGTCACTTACCAGCTGTACCCCTGGCAGACACAGTGAGTGTAGGTAGACTGATAGTCACTTACCAGCTGTACCCCAGGCAGACACAGTGAGGGTGAGGGTAGGTACACTGACAGTCACTTACCAGCTGTACCCCTGGCAGTCACAGTGAGGGTAGGTACACTGACAGTCACTTACCAGAAGTACCCCTGGCAGTCACTTACCAGCACTACCCCTGGCAGACACAGTGAGGGTGAGGGTAGGTACACTGACAGTCACTTACCAGCTGTACCCCTGGCAGACACAGTGAGGGTAGGTAGACTGACAGTCACTTACCAGCTGTACCCCTGGCAGACACAGTGAGGGTAGGTAGACTGACAGTCACTTACCAGCTGTACCCCTGGCAGACACAATGAGGGTAGGTACACTGACAGTCACTTACCAGCTGTACCCCTGGCAGTCACAGTGAGGGTAGGTACACTGACAGTCACTTACCAGCTGTACCCCTGGAAGACACAGTGAGGGTAAGTAGACTGACAGTCACTTACCAGCTGTACCCCTGGCAGACACAGTGAGGGTAGGTACACTGACAGTCACTTACCAGCTGTACCCCTGGCAGTCACAGTGAGGGTAGGTACACTGACAGTCACTTACCAGCTGTACCCCTGGCAGACACAGAGAGGGTAAGTAGACTGACAGTCACTTACCAGCTGTACCCCTGGCAGACACAGTGAGGGTAGGTACACTGACAGTCACTTACCAGCTGTACTCCTGGCAGACACAGTGAGGGTAGGTACACTGATAGTCACTTACCAGCTGTACCCCTGGCAGACACAGTGAGGGTAGATACACTGACAGTCACTTACCAGCTGTACCCCTGGCAGACACCGTGAGGGTGAGGGTAGGTACACTGAGCTGTACCCCTGGCAGACACAGTGAGGGTAGGTAGACTGACAGTCACTTACCAGCTGTACCCTGGCAGTCACAGTGAGGGTAGGTACACTGACAGTCACTTACTAGCTGTACCCTGGCAGTCACAGTGAGGGTAGGTACACTGACAGTCACTTACTAGCTGTACCCCTGGCCGACACAGTGAGGGTAGGTACACTGACAGTCACTTACCAGCAGTACCCTGGCAGTCACAGTGAAGGTGAGGGTAGGTACACTGAGCTGTACCCCTGGCAGACACAGTGAGGGTGAGGGTAGGTACACTGAGCTGTACCCCTGCCAGTCACAGTGAGGGTGAGGGTAGGTACACTGAGCTGTACCCCTGGCAGACACAGTGAGGGTGAGGGTAGGTACACTGAGCTGTACCCCTGGCAGACACAGTAAGGGTAGGTAGACTGACAGTCACTTACCAGCAGTACCCTGCCAGTCACAGTGAGGGTAGGTACACTGACAGTCACTTACCAGCAGTACCCTGCCAGTCACAGTGAGGGTAGGTACACTGACAGTCACTTACCAGCTGTACCCTGGCAGTCACAGTGAGGGTAGGTACACTGACAGTCACTTAAAAGCTGTACCCTGGCAGTCACAGTGAGGGTAGGTAGACTGACAGTCACTTACCAGCTGTACCCCTGGCAGACACAGTGAGGGTGAGGGTAGGTACACTGACAGTCACTTACCAGCAGTACCCCTGGCAGTCACAGTGAGGGTGAGGGTAGGTACACTGAGCTGTACCCCTGGCAGTCACAGTGAGGGTGAGGGTAGGTACACTGAGCTGTACCCCTGTCAGTCACAGTGAGGGTGAGGGTAGGTACACTGACAGTCACTTACCAGCTGTACCCCTGGCAGACACAGTGAGGGTAGGTACACTGACAGTCACTTACCAGCTGTACCCCTGGCAGTCACAGTGAGGGTAGGTACACTGACAGTCACTTACCAGCTGTACCCCTGGCAGTCACAGTGAGGGTAGGTACACTGACAGTCACTTACCAGCTGTACCCCTGGCAGACACAGTGAGGGTAGGCACACTGACAGTCACTTACCAGCTATACTCCTGGCAGACACAGTGAGGGTAGGTAGACTGATAGTCACTTACCAGCTGTACCCCTGGCAGACACAGTGTGGGTAGGTACACTGACAGTCACTTACCAGCTGAACCCCTGGCAGACACAGTGAGGGTAGGTACACTGACAGTCACTTACCAGCTGTACCCTGGCAGTCACAGTGAGGGTAGGTGACTGACAGTCACTTACCAGCTGTACCCTGGCAGTCACAGTGAGGGTAGGTACACTGACAGTCACTTACCAGCTGTACCCTGGCAGTCACAGTGAGGGTAGGTACACTGACAGTCACTTACTAGCTGTACCCTGGCAGTCACAGTGAGGGTAGGTACACTGACAGTCACTTACTAGCTGTACCCCTGGCCGACACAGTGAGGGTAGGTACACTGACAGTCACTTACCAGCTGTACCCTGGCAGTCACAGTGAGGGTGAGGGTAGGTACACTGAGCTGTACCCCTGGCAGACACAGTGAGGGTAGGTACACTGAGCTGTACCCCTGCCAGTCACAGTGAGGGTGAGGGTAGGTACACTGAGCTGTACCCCTGGCAGACACAGTGAGGGTGAGGGTAGGTACACTGAGCTGTACCCCTGGCAGACACAGTAAGGGTAGGTAGACTGACAGTCACTTACCAGCAGTACCCTGCCAGTCACAGTGAGGGTAGGTAGACTGATAGTCACTTACCAGCAGTACCCTGCCAGTCACAGTGAGGGTAGGTACACTGACAGTCACTTACCAGCTGTACCCTGGCAGTCACAGTGAGGGTAGGTACACTGACAGTCACTTAAAAGCTGTACCCTGGCAGTCACAGTGAGGGTAGGTAGACTGACAGTCACTTACCAGCTGTACCCCTGGCAGACACAGTGAGGGTAGGTAGACTGACAGTCACTTACCAGCTGTACCCCTGGCAGACACAATGAGGGTAGGTACACTGACAGTCACTTACCAGCTGTACCCCTGGCAGACACAGTGAGGGTAGGTACACTGACAGTCACTTACCAGCTGTACCCCTGGCAGTCACAGTGAGGGTAGGTACACTGACAGTCACTTACCAGCTGTACCCCTGGCAGTCACAGTGAGGGTAGGTACACTGACAGTCACTTACCAGCTGTACCCCTGGCAGACACAGTGAGGGTAGGCACACTGACAGTCACTTACCAGCTATACCCCTGGCAGACACAGTGAGGGTAGGTAGACTGATAATCACTTACCAGCTGTACCCCTGGCAGACACAGTGAGGGTAGGTACACTGACAGTCACTTACCAGCTGTACCCTGGCAGTCACAGTGAGGGTAGGTGACTGACAGTCACTTACCAGCAGTACCCTGCCAGTCACAGTGAGGGTAGGTACACTGACAGTCACTTACCAGCTGTACCCTGGCAGACACAGTGAGGGTATGTACACTGACAGTCACTTACCAGCTGTACCCTGGCAGTCACAGTGAGAGTAGGTACACTGACAGTCACTTACCAGCTGTACCCCTGGCAGTCACAGTGAGGGTGAGGGTAGGTAGACTGAGCTGTACCCCTGGCAGTCACAGTGAGGGTGAGGGTAGGTACACTGACAGTCACTTACCAGCTGTACCCTGGCAGTCACAGTGAGGGTAGGTATACTGACAGTCACTTACCAGCTGTACCCCTGGCAGTCACAGTGAGGGTGAGGGTAGTTACACCGAGCTGTACCCCTGGCAGTCACAGTGAGGGTAGGTACACCGAGCTGTACCCCTGGCAGTCACAGTGAGGGTGAGGGTAGTTACACCGAGCTGTACCCCTGGCAGTCACAGTGAGGGTGAGGGTAGTTACACCGAGTTGTACCCCTGGCAGTCACAGTGAGGGTGAGGGTAGTTACACCGAGCTGTACCCCTGGCAGTCACAGTGAGGGTGAGGGTAGGTACACCGAGCTGTACCCCTGGCAGTCACAGTGAGGGTGAGGGTAGTTACACCGAGCTGTACCCCTGGCAGTCACAGTGAGGGTGAGGGCAGGTACACCGAGCTGTACCCCTGGCAGTCACAGTGAGGGTAGGTACACCGAGCTGTACCGCTGGCAGTCACAGTGAGGGTGAGGGTAGTTACACCGACCTGTACCCCTGGCAGACACAGTGAGGGTGAGGGTAGGTGCACCGAGCTGTACCCCTGGCAGTCACAGTGAGGGTGAGGGTAGGTGCACCGAGCTGTACCCCTGGCAGTCACAGTGAGGGTGAGGGTAGGTGCACCGAGCTGTACCCCTGGCAGTCACAGTGAGGGTGAGGGTAGGTGCACCGAGCTGTACCCCTGGCAGTCACAGTGAGGGTGAGGGTAGGTACACCGAGCTGTACCCCTGGCAGTCACAGTGAGGGTGAGGGTAGTTGCACCGAGCTGTACCCCTGGCAGACACAGTGAGGGTGAGGGTAGGTGCACCGAGCTGTACCCCTGGCAGTCACAGTGAGGGTGAGGGTAGGTGCACCGAGCTGTACCCCTGGCAGACACAGCGAGGGTGAGGGTAGGTGCACCGAGCTGTACCCCTGGCAGTCACAGCGAGGGTGAGGGTAGGTACACCGAGCTGTACCCCTGGCAGACACAGCGAGGGTGAGGGTAGGTACACCGAGCTGTACCCCTGCCAGTCACAGCGAGGGTGAGGGTAGGTACACCGAGCTGTACCCCTGGCAGTCACAGCGAGGGTGAGGGTAGGTACACAGAGCTGTACCCCTGGCAGTCACAGCGAGGGTGAGGGTAGGTACACCGAGCTGTACCCCTGGCAGTCACAGCGAGGGTGAGGGTAGGTACACCGAGCTGTACCCCTGGCAGTCACAGCGAGGGTGAGGGTAGGTACACCGAGCTGTACCCCTGGCAGACACAGCGAGGGTGAGGGTAGGTACACCGAGCTGTACCCCTGCCAGTCACAGCGAGGGTGAGGGTAGGTACACCGAGCTGTACCCCTGCCAGTCACAGCGAGGGTGAGGGTAGGTACACCGAGCTGTACCCCTGGCAGACACAGCGAGGGTGAGGGTAGGTACACTGACAGTCACTTACCAGCTGTACCCCTGGCAGACACAGTGAGGGTGAGGGTAGGTACACTGACAGTCACTTACCAGCTGTACCCCTGGCAGACACAGTGAGGGTGAGGGTAGGTACACTGACAGTCACTTACCAGCTGTACCCCTGGCAGTCACAGCGAGGGTGAGGGTAGGTACACCGAGCTGTACCCCTGCCAGTCAAAGCGAGGGTGAGGGTAGGTACACTGAGCTGTACCCCTGGCAGACACAGTGAGGGTGAGGGTAGGTACACTGACAGTCACTTACCAGCTGTACCCCTGGCAGACACAGTGAGGGTGAGGGTAGGTACACTGAGCTGTACTCCTGGTATGCAGGGCAGGGACTCTCCCACCAGTTGAAACTGCCAATAGTCTGTTCCAGCTAGTAATGGACCCGGTGAGCAGCTCCCCAGCTCCCAGCCCGGATACTCACATAGTTCCGCATCCTCTGTCATTGCACAATACCAAAAACTCCACACACTGCGCTCCACACTGAGAGCCTCACTGAGAGCCTCACTGAGAGCGCCCCCTGGAGGATCAACCCCGCCACTGACAGTCACTCCCCACACTGCGCTCCACACTGAGAGCCTCACTGAGAGCCTCACTGAGAGCGCCCCCTGGAGGATCAACCCCGCCACTGACAGTCACTCCCCACACTGCGCTCCCACACTGAGAGCCTCACTGAGAGCGCCCCCTGGAGGATCAACCCCGCCACTGACAGTCACTCCCCACACTGCGCTGCGCTCCACACTGAGAGCCTCACTGAGAGCGCCCCCTGGAGGATCAACCCCGCTACTGACAGTCACTCCACTGGTCCTCGGGAAACTGTGTCCAACGATTCAAAAAAACAACAACTTTATTTAGAGTTGGGGGACAAAACCTCACCTGTATCTTTAAGGGGGCGGTCCGTGACGTCAAGAGCGGCGTGCTATGATTGGTTACTGGAGATTACCGGATGTTCTCTTTGGAGTGAGGGCGGAAGTCCCTGTGTAAGGTCTGTTCCATGTGGATGGGAAGCTGCATTGGTTCCAGGAGTTCTATAGCCATGTGAGGGAGTCTCAGTAACACACACAGAGAGAGAGCTTTCTAATGGTAATCCTGACTGCCAGAACTGACACAGTCTCAGCTGGGGATTACATTGTATCCATGTAATGTCTCACAATGCCTGCAAGGCAATATCCTGCCAAGAAACACTGGCAATATCCTGCCAAGAAACACTGGGTACTAAAAAAAAAATTTTTAAAGACCATTTTTTTATTTTTTTTTATTTTATGTCTATGGTGGATTTTCTTTTTGGTTTTTTTTGGGATATAGTTGGGAGAGAGCAAAGCACAGTATTAGTGGTGAAGTAAAGACACCAGTTTCATACTTCTCTCTATATTAGGGAGGGTTGCAGAGTAGAGATGAAATACAAGGTGGGAGGGGAGGGGGACTGAGAGACAAAAATGTTTAGGACAGAGAGGAGGAAATAAAAAAAAAAAGAAGCAAATGTTTAGATAGACTGGTGAAGAAGGGTAAAAAAAAAAAAAAAGCAAATAAAGAGCACGCTAGTGTTGAAATAGATATTGATGAAGAAAAATGAGGTGACGGGTTGTTTCCTATAAAAGCTAGGACTCCATTTAGAATTCTGGTATTGTATTGCCTACAAATCTCTACAAAACACTGCTCCTATCTACCCTCACTGATACGCAAGTATGTCAAGTCCAGGCCCCTACTGTCTGCCAAAGACCTGTGTCTATCCTCTGTTTGTACTCGCAACTATGACGCCCACAGTCAAGACTTCTCTTCTATGGAACTCCCTTCCCTGCTCCATTAGACTCACACTCAGTCTCCATTCCGTCAAATTTTTATTTTTTGAAAACTCACTTCTTTAGGAAAGCAAATCAATTAAACTACTAATAGCTTACCCACACCGTACCTAGGTAATCCTCCCTGCTTCCTTTCCTGCAACTTTGTCATCCAATAAACCAACCTTTCATTGTAAACCTAGCTTGTAACCTACTTTTCCCTAAATGAAATGCATCTTACCCTTTCTTCTTGTGTCGCTTTACCCCACTCCCTCCAACAGCTAAGCTTATTTGAGCAGGGCCCTCAACACCATCTGTTCCTGTGCGTCCAACTTGTCTTGTTGCAAATACTTGTCTGTTAGTCCACCTATTGTAGAGTGCTACAGTATTTTTTGCCGATTTGTAAATAATAATAAGTGGTTTAAATTACAGCGGTAGGGTACAAAGATTTGCAAAGAAATAGTAGGTAAAGAGACTAGGGGAAAAAAGGTGGTGGGTTGGAAGGACCAAAGATAGACAATGTGTGAAAATAAAAAAGACTGGGAGAGAGGCGACAGAGAGGTTAACAGTACTTGATGTTCTTAATGCGGTTTTGTACAATGATGATTGTATTACTAACAATGTTGCTTATTGTTTGCAGGAAGTAGACTTCTAAAATGGAGAAAGAGGCCCCATATTACACATTTCTGGATACTCTTTGCTACATAAGTGATCATATCGGGTTCTATGGAACCATCAAAAATTCGCCTGCTGACTTTGTTGTAACAGAGATTGATGAGTCTGGAGAGTTGGTTACCAGAGACTCCTCTAAAGAAACTGAAGAACAAATGCAAGCTAGCAGTAATGAGATGACGACTGGCCAAAACAATGTGAAAAAGCAACGCACTAACTTACGAGATCTGCATGACAGCCGTGCAGGTGTTAGTGGTTCCATCAGTGACTTGTCAGAGGTAGCAAGTGAGGAAATGAAGGATTTCACCAGCAATGCTCTCCACTATCACTTTAATGTTACAGTTCTGGATTCTTTAAACCACTTTGCAGATTCCATAAAATCGGCTTGGAAAGCACAACTCTCTGAAGCTGATCATCAAGAACTTTCTTTGGGCCTTTTTCCTGAAAAAAGTGAAAGGGCCAACATACACAGTGCTGTTCGGCAAACATTCCCTTTTCTCATAACATTTACGAAAAGTACAGAGCTTCTGGTTAAACCAAACTTAGATTACCAAGAACTTTGCCAGCTAACATCTGAAGAGGAGGCCGATGATTTTTTTACATTTTTAGATGCAAAAGTCGAAAATTCTAGGTTTACATTTCAACCAGACAGCTGTAAAGAACACAGGACCCGTGTACATCACTTTATCAATAAGAAATTTGGAAAACTCTTAGAAACTAAATCTTTTTCAGAAAAAGATAATGGCTTACAAATGGCGACCATAACTGTTCGATTTAGAGAGAGAAAATGCCCATCCATAAAAAGACACAGAACAGAAGAGGTTGATAAACACAGTGTGTACACCGGTAAGAATTTACTTAATTCACGCACAACAAGCATGTTCTTGGAATACAACTCACATAATTCTTTATTTGACACAGGCTGCGAGAGAATCATGGGAATTGTAGTCCAGAAACAGTTGGAGATGCACACCTGCTGCATTACTTTTTCAATATTTGTTAAAGTTTTTGGTTTTTTTTGTTAAGTGGGTTATCAATATTATGCCAGCTGTGTTTGTTCTCAAGCTGGTTGTTTTCAGGAAAAGTTTCACATTAGGCTTTAATATCATACCACGTTACTACATTTTTTTTTTATTTTTTTTTATTAACATGTTTTGAGGCTTAAGGTGACACTATAGTCACCAGAACAACTACAGCTTAAAGGAACTCTCCAGTGCCAGGAAAACAACCGTTTTCCTGGCACTGCAGGTCCCCTCTCCCTCCCACCCCCCATCCCAGGTTGCTGAAGGGGTTAAAACCCCTTCAGTTACTTACCTGTAACCAGCGCCGATGTCCCTCGGTGCTGGTTCAGGGTCCGCACACCCTCCTCCCCTGCCGACGTCATCCGGCGTGGGAGAACCTATTGCGCATGCACGGCCGGATTAGTCCTCCCCATAGGAAAGCATTGAAAATGCTTTCAATGCTTTCCTATGGGGATTTCAGTGACGCTGGAGGTCACCACATAGTGTGAGGATGTCCAGCGACGCTATAAACCCTGAAGTACCCTCTAGTGGCTGTCTAGTAGTTATGAAAACTGCAATATTTACAGTTGCAGGGTTAAGGGTAGTGGGAGTTGGCACCCAGACCACTCCAATGGGCAGAAGTGGTCTGAGTGCCTGGAGCGTCCCTTTAATGGTTCTGGTGTCTATAGAATATCCCTACATGCTATTTAATGTAAACATTGTGTTTCAGGTAAAAGGCAGTGTTTACATTACTGCGTAGTAAGCATTTCAGTCACCCAGATGGCCACTAGGGGTCAGTGCTGCACAATATTATGGTGGGGCAAGCCATCTAAATGGTTGTTTTAACACTATATGGTTCCTGACCCTATAGTGTTCCTTTAAATAAACAATATGTATTCTGCATTGATCCAAATATTACCAGTACAGGCAATTAAGTAGAACAAGGATTACCAAAATGTAGCAACATGGCACCTTGACGTAAGCTCCCCACATTGCTGCCCATTATCCACCCAGATACTTGTGGATGCCGAGCAGCAAGTCAGAAGGAGAATTTGTCATCTTCATTTTCTTGTTCTTCAGTAATATGTGGTTTTTGTTTTAGCGTTCACTCTTCAGAAAGAAAACTTGGAGACACTGGAAGCCATAAGCTATTTGTCGACTTTATTAGGCATTCTACCTTCAGACTTCTCTTACGCAGGAATCAAAGATAAGAAAGCTATAACGTATCAGACAATGGTTGTAAAGAAAGTGTCTCCGGAGAGGTAAAAGGCTTTTTTTTTTTTTGTCTTCATGCTGTAAATTATTTATTTTGATTTCTGAATGTTCCAAGAACCAGACTTGTTTTATTTCATTGCTGTTAAAGTGCTGTTTTTATATAATTATGTTCCAGTTCTACTTGAGAACACTCTATTCATTTTCTAAACATTACCTGCTGTGATATTCATAAAAAGGAACCTGATACTGTATTCAGTGAACCTGTCACAATGTTCTGGTTTTAGCTTACGAACAGTTGAAAGTTCAATCAGAAGAAAAGGAATGAAAATGTACAATATACACCCTGTAACCCAACCGTTGCGACTTGGCCAGTTGACTGGAAATCATTTCAGTATCGTTGTGAGAGATGTATCAAATCACAGCGATGACTCTTTAACCGATGTCCAACTGAGAATTGAAGAAGCAATTTGCAACGTGAAGGTAAATTGTATGTGGATTCCTCTTGTGTGTCAACCTTCACACTGCCTACTGAATCTATCTGCTGGGTTTATTCACTAAACAGTGAATTGCGGCAAAACAAAAAATGTATTACAAAGTTCAGGCCAAGTTAGCCAAGATGTGGGAATAGCTGAGTTGGAGTTGTGAATTTATTTTCTTTCCAACTCACTATTTTGGTTTAAATGTTCTAATTTTGTTTTTTAATCCACTACAATTCACAGTTTAGTGAATAGACCCCACTGTGTTTGCATTCTTTATTTGGTCCATGCCTTTGTTAATAAGAATATGGCAGAACTGATTGCAGATGGCGAAGAGAGAGAGTCTGTGCTTCTACTAACGCTACAGGGCAGCATGCATTTTCTTTCTGTTAAGTGGGTTATCTTATGTTCTAATTTATAATTCCATGTCTTTGGCCAATGCATGCCGGCTGTTGCTCCTGTAGCTTAAAATGTAAATAATACAGTACTGTGTAGTGGTTATGGTACTGGGAAGCTATTGTTGCAGTCCCAGGAGCAATATGCTGCATCAAAAGTCCATTCTGTGAACGTGTCGTTGACATTATGATGATACCTCGCATCCACATTATCCATCTTTGTTTCAGTAAAATGTGAACACAAAAGAGATGAGTTGGGAAGGGGGCAGTTTGTACTGTTCTTATCGTACAAAATATTCTATTTCATTTTGCCTCATTTCCATCGTAAATATTTTTGTGCCTCAGCTGACTGGAGCATCCTTATAAAAATTATTAAAACCAAAAATACATATGTCTAAGGGGGCCATTTTCTCACAATTGTCTTTATATATATATATATATATATTCAGTGTTCTGCTTTTAGCTTACGAACACTGGAAAGTTTATATATATATATATATATATATATATATATATATATATTAGATATATCATATTTTTTTTTTTCTTCTTCCTCTACAGATGAATGGTTTTATAAACTATTATGGACCCCAGAGATTTGGAAAGGGACAGGCTCATGAAATTGGATTGTCTTTGCTTAAAGAAGAAATGGTAAATTCCTTGATCCTGATTGTGTAAAAAAATGTTTTCCATAGACTTCCAGTATAATTGCAATATAGAATTTTTAGGTGTTTTCATTAAAGGACCACTATAGGCACCCAGACCACTTCAGCTCAATGAAGTGGTCTGGGTGCCAGGTCCAGCTGGGACTAACCCTTTTTTCTATAAACATAGCAGTTTCAGAGAAACTGCTATGTTTATAATAGGGTTAATCCAGCCTCTAATGGCTGTCTCAATGACAGCCGCTAGAGGCGCTTCCGCGCTTCTCGCTGTGATTTTCACAGTAAGAAGACGCCAGCGTCCTTAGGAAAGCATTGTGAATGCTTTCCTATGGACTGGCTGAATGCGCGCGCGGCTCCTGCCACGCATGCGCATTCAGCCGAGGAGAGGAGGTGGAGGAGAGTCCCCTGCCCGCCGCGGGAGAAAGAGGTAAGTTTAACACCTTCCTCCCCCTAGAGCCCGGCGGGAGGGGGATCCTGAGGGTGGGGGCACCCTCAGGGCACTATAGTTCCAGGAAAACGAGTATGTTTTCCTGGCACTATAGTGGTCCTTTAATGTTTTACCCATCAAGTAAGGTCTACCTGTCTTCCCACCTGTCAGTCTGTTAAGCTATCCGTATGATTATTTACCTTTTTTGCTGTCTGTTCTCAGAGTTCTCATATTCTTTGTTTTTGTTGCAACGCATTAACTTGGCTCTCACCAAGTTAGAAGGGTAAAACAAACGTGGACCCCCGTGCTCACTGTGCCTAGAGGGGTATCAGCTACACCTCACTGACGAGGCCCAAAGAAGGCCGAAACAATCGTCTGGGGTTGCTGTATATCTTGTGCAGAGAGAACTTGCCGGTATTTCAGTTCTGCACTGCTTATACGGGTGGGATCAGTCTGATATGCTTCAGAATATATTCTCCCTGTAATGGCACAAGTTATCAAAAACTATTGTGAGACCTGAGCAGGAATGTTTATTTATAATAATAAAAAAAATCCCATTTCCATACTTCAGTGGAAGCACCAACACATTTGTGAATGTGTTCTCCGCACTATTTGGATGTTTGGGACTCCCCTGTAAGGCTTACAAAAAAAAGCAGATTCACTCATATTATGTCCCTCAGTGTGCAGATTTCACTGCTGCTGCCCCATCTCATCAGCTAAGGAGATTATCTCAGCCAGTCCAATGCTTCCCCAGTGGGAGGCTAGTGCGCATGTGCTGCAAACCACAGCTCTGTTCCAATCAAATGCTCTTTTTGAGTTTGACTCTGTTATTCAGCAGGAGTGCCTCTAGTGGCTGTCATGAAAACAGCGCCTAGAGGTGTGTTAACCCTGCAATACAAATCTTGTATCTACTAATTAGCAATGTTTCACATTGTAGGGCTAAAATGACAGGACCACTGCACCCAGACCATGAAGTGGTCCAGGTGCCTTTAGTTGTCCTTGAAAATAGGATAGAATAAAAAATGTTAACAATGTTATCAACCAACAAGTAAAATAAAATAATTGGATTCCCTTAGGAGAGGGCCGTAAAATTGCTGTTCACACCAGATGCTGCTGAGGATTCTGTGAATAAGGCCAAAAAGTATTTTGTTGAAACCGGTAAGTTGAATGTATATTAGAAATATCCGTTTCAAACAAGTTTATTAAAGGACACTTAGTAGTTCGGGTATATTTTTGATATATATGACCTACTAAAACTCATTGTATAATTCTTCTTGCAACACACGTTGTTTGTAGTAATAAATGTGTTATTATCTGTCCTTTATATTCCGTGATGGCCAGAACACTTCCTACAAACATTGATCAGAATTGGTAGTTACCAAAATATGCATCTTATGTGTTGTGGTTCTATTATAACATACCTAACCACATTATTATATTGAACTTTGTGTTTGTCGCAACAGAGCTTTTATGAACATTATGCACTTTTTCTTATTTTCATTAAGTTCAGGAATTGTGTGTTTGACATTGCACGTTTTGTACTGAGCATTTTTTTTTTCTTATTTTCAAGTCTCTGGTGATAATGCATATATTTAATTGTCTGTATGGTTGACATACTCCAAGTAGTCCATAATTATGCACACATGTTTACACATAGTTTAGCACTAGTTTCTTTGAATGCCGAGTCATGCACTATTTTCTGTACTTTAAGAGTTTCAAATAAGACCCAATATGTGTGTTCGCACAGTACTCCACGGACGGCTTGTGACCTTGGAGCAATTATCAAGTAACCTGTATAAAACCATAACGCCAAGCTGGGCTTTTTGAGACCACCATCAATGTACGTCATCATTTCATCTTACAATTAAAACATTATGGTAAAGGTTGCAGATTCAGGTAAATTCATTAAAGTGCAAAGACCCCCAACAGTAACATCGCCGCTGATGGCCAGGGGGAGCAGGGAAAATTTTTGATTTACTTACATAAACCTGTTCCTTGCAAGTGCAGCCATCTTTATCATCCGGCCCTCTTCTGCTCCTGGTTTTCAGTGCCAGGAACTGACGTTACTGTTCTACTCTCATACATGCGCGAGAGATTACAGCATTGAGATCTATGGAGCATCCCGCGAGACCATGGGATCCTCCATTTGTACAGCTAATATCACTGCAGCCATCACTGGTGAAGGCTGGGAGATTGATACTTGTATTCTCTTTCCAGTTTCTAGAAGTGTCAGGCGTAGGAAAAATACAGAGACAACACAGTCAGTATGAGTATTTCATGAAGATTCTATCTTTATGAAATACTCATTTTATGAGGGGTGACAGTGCCACTTTAAAGGACCACTATAGTGCCAGGAAAAACATACTCGTTTTCCTGGCACTATAGTGCCCTGAGGGTGCCCCCATCCTCAGGGCCCCCCTCCCGCCGGGCTCTAGGGGGCAGAAGGGGTTAAATTTACCTCTTTTTCCAGCGCTGGGCGGGGGACTCTCCTCCTCCTCTCCTCCTCCTTCTCGTCATCGGCTGAATGCGCATGCGCGGCAGGAGCCTCGCGCGCATTCAGCCAGTCCATAGGAAAGTATTCTCAATGCTTTCCTATGGACGCTGGCGTCTTCTCAATGTGAAAATCACAGTGAGAAGCGCGGAAGCGCCTCTAGCGGCTGTCACTAGAGGCTGGATTAACCCTAATATAAACATAGCAGTTTGTCTGAAACTGCTATGTTTATAGAAGAAAGGGTTAATCTTAGCTGGACCTGGCACCCAGACCACTTCATTAAGCTGAAGTGGTCTGGGTGCCTATAGTGGTCCTTTAATCTACATAATACACACCTTCCCATTTCAATGCACATGAGACCATACATTTATATATGTCACATGTTGGTAATTAATAATTCATTATGGTCTCAATGGTTTCAGGGGATGCCAAAGGAAGTCTTGCCTTAATGCCGAATTATAAAGTTCGTGAAAGAATGTTGCTCCGTGCCCTACATAGGTATGGAATGAACCATGAAGGGTGTATACGTGGATGGCTCTGTATTCCACACTCCATGCGCATCTTCTACATCCATGCTTATTGCAGTAAAGTCTGGAATGAAGCAGCATGCTTTAGGGTTAAGTCGTATGGTGCCAAGGTTGTGGAAGGAGATTTGGTGATTCGTGAGCAAAATGCCAGTGAGAAGTCTTCACTAAGTGATAGAGTAAGTTTACATTTAAAAATAATTGATTGCCAAGCGATTTGTCTTTGCATTGTACCTTTGCAGAATGGTTTGTATTATTTCTACAACTAAAAAATTTTTTTTCTAGGTTCATGTTGTTACAGCAGCAGAAGAGGAGGCTAAAACATACACCATGAGTCAAGTGAGTTTTCTTTTAATCTTGCTTTTCAGAAAATGTAACCTGTTACTAATAAAGTGACTTTTCTTTTTAATTATGAAACTTCTAGAAGTATAACAGCTCTGTGTTATATAATGTCAAATTTATTAATGGGATAAAGAAAGGAAGAAAATTTACACTTTGCATTTTTTTCCGCACACTTTCTGTCTATGACATATCTGTATCAGAACTGGTTGAGTATTAAGATAATGCTTCTCAGTGAGATTTGCATCTGATTTGCACAATTGTCTCACATGCTCAACAGGGCACCGGTGTGCTTATTTAACCCCTTAAGGACACATGATGGAAATATTCAATCATGATTCCCTTTTATTCCAGAAGTTGTGTCCTTAAGGGTTAAAGTGTGTATTAATAACATTTTTATTTTTCATTCCTAAAGGGGTAAACTTTAATCTTTATACATATATCTTTATTACATTTTTTATTGGACTAACAGAATTTTTTAATGACAAGCTTTCAGAAGAACCTCCCTTTTTCAGGTCTAATACATTTCTTACAGAACATTACCTTCAATCCATTGAATTGTCCTAGATTTGATTCTCTTTATTTATGTCTTTGCATACGTCCATTAAATTTTTTAAACCAATTAAAACATACATTGTGTTGATCTCTACTATTTATGTTGTCTTTCTTCCTAATGTCATTTATGAAATCTTTTTGAAGGTTGTTCTCCCAATGCCTGGACACAGTGTTACGTATCCCGCTAATAAGGTTGGACAGTGGTACAGAGATGCTCTGGCCAAAGATGGACTACAGACCTGTAAATTTCGAGTTGGTTCCTTGCAACTAAATCTCCCTGGATGCTACAGGCAAATTTTTAAATATCCTCTCAAATTGGCTTATGAACTCTCTTTGGGAAGTCAACACGAAGAGAAAGAAGTAACAACCGGCACAGAAATTGTAGCTTTACCAAAACCACATCTAACACTGACATTGGATCTCGAGTCTTCATGTTATGCAACAGTGTGTCTTAGGGAGATGATGAAATTTAACTTTTGAAACACAGTCTTGATATTCTTTGGATTTTAATAAACAGAATACCATGTTAGACTAATACAATTGCTGCTGATGTCGTTTATTTTGTCGTCTTCATCTTCAATATATACAGAGTAAAACAAGTAAGTATGGCATTAAAAAATATTTTACTGGGGCGTGGCCTGACCGTTCATGAAGGCAGACGTGTGAACGTTCAGCTCCGTGAGCGATCCCCGAAAAACAGCGATTTGAAGAGCAATTACAGAGAGATCACCCCCTTTTCACAAGATAAGAACCTACTGTCACCCCAGCCATCATGGCACAGCGCCTCCCGAAAAAAAGACGAAAGAGACCCCTAAATTACAAATCTCGGCCATGGCCTCACCTCCTCGTCGCACACAAGATGGCGCCGAGAGGCCTGCATCACCAGCCTCGAGCTCCGGACGGAGCGACATCACTTCGGTCTCCCATAGGGACCTCCCGGCTACGGAATCAGCGATCCAAAAAATGCTCAACGGACTTCAAACGTCCCTACGCAGACTTCGCCCAGCTATCGAAAGAAATCAGAGCAGACGTTAAAGCACTAGGTGACCGCACAGACTACTTAGAAAACAAAACCGAAGAAATCATCACGGCACATAATAATGTGGCGACGGCCTTTGACTCCATGGAGACTAAACTCAACATGATTTTCACAAAACTGGCCGACCATGAGGACAGGGACAGAAGGAACAATGTTCGCATTAGAGGCATACCAGAAAATGTGGGCCCACATGAACTGGGTGTTTACGCACGCCGGATTTTTCACTTGCTAGCCCCGGATCTCCCAGAGTCCGCATTACTACTAGACAGGATCCATAGGCTACCTAGGCCTCAGCACCTCCCACCATCAGCTCCCAGAGACACCATCACACGGGTGCATTATTACACCACCAAAGAGGCCATAATGTCTGCCGCTAGAAAAAGGCCTAATCTGCCTGAAGAATTCAATAAAATTCTATTGTTTACGGATCTCTCGGCACACACGTTACAAGCTAGGAGAACCTTTGCGCCGATTACAAGCGCTTTAAGAGCGGCAGAGATCCCCTACAAATGGGGCTTCCCGACACGCCTCATAGTTAAACGGAATGGTAATGAAAGACACATCGGGAACCTGGCAGAAGGGAAGAAAGCACTGGCCGACTGGAATATACCTATCACCACAGACCCCATGGAAGGCGCGGATGCAACCTCGACACCCAGGTCACCTCTAAAGATCACTCAAAACTGGGAAACTCGACGCACAGATAAGTGACTTACAACGTATAAACCTATGCAGGCCTCTGTCCAATGGACTAGTTCTCATGACGCCCGCTCAAACGTTGCTCTGGACTGGTAATATCCAATTACTCTGCTTATATGCATAATGCTCCTCGAGATTTGTGGCACTGGTAGCAAGAGGGTCGCAAGTTTTAGACCCACGGGATTAAGACCCCTGGGACACCCTCTTGCAGGTACCCCCTCCCGAGTCACACACCCGAGCATGACACCCAAAAAGGAGTAAATCGGGCTATATCCCCAAACATAGATGTCCCACAGGAAGAGGCTACCACACTTTTTTCCTGACTCTCTAGAACCCCGAGACTATCACATACTAGGGGCAATACCGCAGTGCTACCAGATCTGTCAATGGCCTGGTTGAGCTCCTGCGCCCCATAACCCTATTACTACACGTAGTCCCACCCCTAGCCTCTTATACTAGACAGGCCCATGCCACAGGTCTGAACGATGTTGCCAATGCTGTTATGGCCCCACCGAGTTTCAATGTGTATTTATTTACATATTTTTTTCTTTATTTTGTATATGCTTTATATTTTTTATTTCTTTTTCTTACCATTTGCTGTCCTACAACACCTTGTTTGATGGGGGCCTGTTTCTCACTATGGGCACATGCTATCATGTGTAATATGCCAGTTACAAAGTATAACCTTGTTTATGTATGATATGTATCCACCTCAAGACGCACCCTGACATCGACTGATATATTATCTCAAGACCCAGAGAGACAAATGCATACCGAATGTTCGGGCTACGGCCCGCTATAGACAGCTAACCTTGCCACAATAACACACTGCCACTAAGACTCAAGGTTATTGGGAAGATGTCTTATCTTGTCTTGATCTATCTATAAGACACGTTCTCTCTCACTGCATATGGGGATCCTCCAACCCCCATAAGGGCTTCAATGCCCAGTAACACGAGTATTATCAGGTCTCACTGCAGAGACCTTTTTAATGTACATAGTTGGTTTGATCTTCCCAGTTACTTCCCTTACCCCCCATCCTTACCTCCCCACAAGGTATTCGCGCACTACCGCAACAAAGACAACACCAAGTACTCTTCCACATGGCACAAGTCATCCCACTCATGTTCTCCAAAGACCCAATGAGCTACACATTGGGTGGATAATGCTAAGATACCTAAATCTCATGACCAGCTACCTGCCACCTCATCTCTCATACCATTCACGATAGCCCAGCAATTCACTCTAGGATTGCGAATTGACACACCATGACACTTAACATTCTATCAATCAACGCCAAAGGGCTGAACACACCGCACAAAAGATGTTTGGCCCTTTTAGTAGCAAAGAAACAGAAAGCCCATATAGCATTTTATCAGGAAACCCATTTCCAAACATCCAGCCAACCCAAATTCTTCTCCAGACACTTCCCAACAAATTACCACAGCACATATAAGGCTAAAAAACGAGGCGTCTCTATCCTAGTTAGTAAAGACGTGACATTCCAATTGGTGAAAAAAATAGGCGATAAAAAAGGCCGTTACCTCCTACTTCAATGCATTATTAATAATGCACAATATACCTTAATCAATCTCTACGGACCACACACCGGCTGCCACACCTTTCTTGAACATATCTTAGTCCTGGCATCCGCTTATCAATTTGGGCAAGTTATTATAGGGGGAGACACAAATTTCATTTTAGATCAAACTTTAGATACCACTTCCTCCACAAGAATCTCGCAACAAACAGCGAACCAAAGAACTCGTTCCATATCCCTTCTAGAAAAAACACTGAGTACACACGAATATACTGATGCATGGAGAACTCTTCATCCTCTAGACAAGGATTTTACACACTACTCCCAGGTCCATAACACATATTCCAGGTTAGACCGCTTCCTTATCCCCTCGACTCTAATTCCGACAATAGTTAAAGCAGACATAGGTATCATTACGTGGTCGGACCACGCCCCGATTACACTATCATTAGCTACGCAATACCCCATTTCTGGGACCCGCACGTGGCGTCTCAACGATTATCTCTTAAAAGACGAGGAATTGGTCGCACAAATCAAAAGAGAACTCCATTCATATTTTGTATTAAACGACACAGAAGGGATGAATATAGACAACCTGTGGCAAGCACACAAAGCTGTCATCAGAGGGCAGTTCATCAAACACGCTAGCTACAATAACAAAAAGAGAACCAAACACTATATAGATACATATAAAGAACTAGCTACACTCACACGCACAAACAAGACAAGCCCATCTCACACTATCACCACACGGATCCGTGAACTACAATCTAACTTGAAAGATATAGAGATGGAGAAAACGACCTACCTCTTAACAAAATTGAAGCATAAATTTTTCCATACCGGAAACAGAGCAGGGAAAACGCTAGCCGCGCAACTTAAAGCAAGATCCCTATCGTCGAAAATCGCCTTCCTTATCTCAAACCAAGGCAAGAAAATTATAGACCCTCAAGAGATAGTAGACGAGTTTAGCCAATATTATAGCGGCCTCTATAATCTAGCAAAGTCACAAGACAGTCCCCCCCCTAAGCAAACTGATATAGACCGGTTTCTGCAAGATACTGAACTGGCGGCTCTCACCCCAGATGAATGTCAAACCCTAATTCGACCCTTCTCAGATCAGGAAATACTTGATACCCTCGTCCAATTACCAAAGCACAAATCTCCAGGCCCAGATGGTTTTACTAATCTATATTACTATACATTTCGAGACACCCTTGTTCCATACATGAAAACATTCTTTACTCGATGTTTCCAAACGGGTTGCATGCCTAAAGCAATGCTACAAGCCCACATTTCGACCTTGCCAAAACCTGGGAAACCACCGACTCAGTGCTCTAATTTCCGACCCATATCCTTGCTAAATTGTGACACCAAAATATATGCCAACCTGTTAGCTAACAGGATAAGCCCGATATTAACCCGCATCATACACAACGATCAAGCAGGCTTTGTCAAAGGCAGGCAAGGATCCGATAATACCAGAAAAATCCTAAACATTCTCTCCCACATTGCGGACCAAAGAACTGAAAGCATAATATTGGCCTTAGACGCTGAAAAAGCCTTTGACCGGCTTAACTGGGATTATATGGTATCAGTCTTAAACAAATATGGTTTCCCAAAAGAAATGACCCGAGGTATCCCGGCGCTATATAAATCACCAACCGCGCAAGTATCTAGCTCAGGCTTCACCTCCAGGCCTTTCGCTCTCTCTAACGGCACTAGGCAAGGATGCCCCCTATCTCCTCTTTTATTCATCCTAGCCCTAGAACCTTTAGCACATAAAATTAGAAACGACACTTTGATATCAGGAATAGTCATAGGCCCCTCGACCTTTAAATTATCGATGTTCGCAGATGATATCTTATTGACAATGGGAAATCCGACGTCTACAATTCCCCGCCTCCTCTCCCTGCTCCACGAATATGGTAAAATATCGTATTATAAACTTAATAATACCAAGACACAAGCACTACCCCTCCACATGCCAACCACACAAGTCAACCTGCTCCGACAATCTTTTCAATTTGACTGGAGACATGACTTTATTACCTATTTAGGAGTGAAGCTAACACTACACCCCCACAGAACGTTGTCACTAAACTATGGGCAGATCTCACAGACCTGTAAGACGCTATGTAATCACTGGAAACACGTACCATTATCATGGCTAGGACGGATAAATACCGTCAAAATGGTGCTTTTACCAAAAATCCTCTACATATTTCGAATGCTTCCAATACAAATACCCCCACAAATCCTCAAGAACATCCAAGCTATATTAACCAAATTCATTTGGGACAAAACTAAACCGCGCTTACATATATCCATATTGCAACAGCTCCAAACTAGAGGTGGGCTAGGGGTGCCCAAGCTAACCTCGTACTACGAAGCTGCCATACTAGACTCCGCTATTCGATATCACGCTCCTAAACACACGTTCCAATGGGCTGATATGGAATCTGATAGATCCAAACCACACTCCCTACTCCACGCCATGTGGTCCCCTAAGACCCATCGTCCACCGAAACTGTCATTATACCCCACCTCTGCACTGATGCTTAAATACTGGGACAGGCTAATGGCTACTGTAACCGAGAAAGGGAAATTCAGCCTACAGGCCCCGATTGAAGCTCTGACCAGACTGACGCCTTGGCTGTCCTTAACCCCTTAAGGACCAAACTTCTGGAATAAAAGGGAATCATGACATGTCACACATGTCATGTGTCCTTAAGGGGTTAAAGACCTGGACCAAGTATGGAGTGAAAAACATCCAGGACATATGCACACAGCAGGGAATTAAGCCATTCCCAACCCTACAAACACAATACAATATACCTAACTCTTGTATCTTTCAATATCTACAGGTAAAAAGTGTCATCTCCACTCACGTAACCCTGAAACCCCAGATCCAACCATATAGGATAAAAGACGTGACAGAGATCTTTTCTAGATGCCATACGACACCACTAAAACCCAAAGCCCTGTCGCTATGCTATAGGACCACACTTGACTATAATACCCCCCGCTCATTCACATACGTACAAAATTGGGAAAAAGAAGGAATACCTACACTCACGGACTCACACTGGCTTTCGGCGCTAACTGCTCTTTCGGGCCTCACCTCTTGCTTCTCACATGTGGAAGCACACAAAAAGGTGTTATACAGATGGTACCTCACGCCTCAAAGGCTCCACCAAATATACCCCAATACAAGCCCAACATGCTGGAGATGCTCGACAGATATAGGCACCATGATGCACATATGGTGGGAGTGTAAAGAGATTTCACCACTCTGGTCACAGGTTCACTCACTCCTGCAACGACTACTCCACCTTCAAGAACCTCTTTCGCCGAAACTAACACTCCTACTGATCTTCCCCACACAATGGAAGAAAGCAGATAAAAAGATAGCATCCTTAATGATATTAGCAGCACGACACCTCATAGCCCAAAACTGGAAATCCACCAGATGCCCTTCCCGAACAGAGCTACTCGATAGAATCACTCTTTACTATAAGTATGAGCTGTTAGCTTCCACTTCCCACTAGCGCAATGCACAAACTGTTAAACTCTGGAAACCTTTTACAGAAATGACTCACCAAACCTCTCGATAGATGACAATGACCCGGTGCACCCAAGGTTTAACAGGTCTAGCAGGTTTAATTGATATAAAACTAAGATGTAAGCCGACTCCTCTGAGAGCTGGTCATATATAGGAATACTATTGCTCTACTAACATGTTATATTGCCTTACAATATTTGTATAACTTGGTTGTCAGCATATATAAATCGATTACCTTGACTGTACCGATCCCCTTCCCCATCCCTTTCTTTATTCTGTACCCTTCTAC